TGTAAAGAATGCTATATTTTATTGTGTAAGTATGCTATATTTTTAAAATAAAAAATTCTTGTTGTATACTAACTAAGGTTATAAAGAAATAAAGAAATTATACAGTCTATAAATTTCTTGGAATGAAAAGAACGAATATTTTTACTCACGCAATAATAAAAATAGCTTCCTTAAGGCCCTATTAATATTGCCTTATAACTCGTTAAACCATTTGTTACATATCTTGTAGGGCCTTTGTCTTTCTATCCCTACTAGGATCTGATTAATGTTAGGGAAAAATAATCAGGCCCTTATTACCCCGGGTAATTAAAAATTAAAAATAACCAGAGCCATATTAATTTTTCTACTCGGCTTCCTACGCCGGAGGAGTTTGATTTAAAAACATTTTTTTACATTCCCTGCCGCTCGATGACTGTAAGATGAACCAATAGAGTTACCTCTGCACGTAGAAAATTTCGCAATAAATAAATATTTCGTATACTCGTCACTTAACAGTTTAGCCTGTACTAGTTTGTTCGTTTTTATGAATAAAAGGCGAGCAGATATTTTTCATAAGCTATGCTCCTGGCTGAAAAGAGCATTTTTTACGGTCTCTCTAGATCTCCTTGAATTTGTTCGGCGACTGTGTGGTTACTTCTAACAATGCTTCGCCGTCTCTCGAACGTTTTATTCTCACTCCCTCAATGCTCGCTGTATTATTCAACGGTCTCTGCTCGTCAACGTAGCTCAATGCCGTATTTTGACGGTGCAGGATACAGCGGCGTGTGAAATTTCTCCTGCTTGCCCTCGCATCCCGCTCGTCCTTTTTCTCTTTTACTATTCTGCATCTCCGCCGGTGTGAATGTTCAACGTCACCGGTTTTGTCTCTGCGCAATTATCCTTCGAGCAAGTTCCCCTCCCCTTTCCTCGCCGGACGTTCGAAAATGCGTCCATGTTGCGGCAGCAATTCGTGATAACGTACCTTCAAGGCGCGCTCGACTTCTTTTCTCGAGAGAAAAGCCTCTCTCACTTGTGCTACAGCACGAAAAGTCGATCGGCCGCCATCGCGACGTTTGGCGCCAAAAGTCTCAGATACGCATCTCCGAGCCACAACGGGCTGGCTGAATTTGACGGACGTCTGGAAATTCTGCCCGCCCCTTATCTTTGATCCCGGGTACGAAAGGGTGGTGAGGATTCGCTGTTTATTCAGCGAGCACAACAAACGGCGGGTCGCGCGAGCGAGCCCGCGCGAAAAGAGGTGCCAGGACCCGTAGAATCCGCCGTGACAATTGCGTCTGGCACCATTCGCAAGGGTCGACGCCTTCGCTGAAAGGGTTTTTTTCCTCTTTCGCCTCTTTCGAAATCTCCCCTCCTTATTCTTGCACGTCTTAGCGCGGACTCGTCGCGTTTCCTCGCCGCGCTACTCCGACTCGCTCGAGCTCGCGGCAGGCTAGACATCAAAGAATCTTTCCTACTACTACTACTACTCGTCGACCTGCTTCCACCCGCTTACAAAGTTCCCGCATAATCGCGCGCGGGAAGAGTGCCGAAGAGCCTCCTGGCACCCTTCTTCACTAGATAAGAGGTGAATGCAAGCCGCGGTAACGAGGTCATAGCCAGAGCGCGGTCGCCGGCGCTCTTGCGCAGACGATGAGACGGGGTGAAGTTATCTTTGATGTCGGAAGGATTACACTTTATCTTTCAACCTTCCGACGCGCGCGCGCGCGCGCTCGGGAATGGAGTGGACCGGTGGCGGATTAACGATCACGGCAACGAGACTCTCTCTCTCTCTCTCTCTCTCTCTCTGAGAGAGGGAGAGAGTCGAGGGGGAGATATAGGTATACGCTCGAATTAGATCATCCGGTGGAAACGTAGCGAGGCGCAATTAATTGCAATCCGTTAGATCTCTATCCTTGTGAATTGAGTCGTGTATTATGCGTAAAGCGCCGGTGGATCTTCTCCCCCCTCCTCCGATCGTTCTTCCTCTCTTTCTCTCTGTATCTGTCTCTCCGAGGAAGGGATAACGGCGTTGTTGTTAACGAGGTGCTTAGCGTAGCGTACTCGCCGTTCAAAGGTATTAACCAAGGTCTGTTGTTTGCGCTAAAAGCTACTGCTGGCGTGCCGCTCGCGGGAGGAGATCGATTTTGGCAGGCGGCGGTTGCCACAGTCCGTCAGATGTATAAATTTGCCCGGCGCGGCCAGAGGTAATTATTTCCTCGACTTTCGAGAAGCCCGCGATAGCGCCTTCGTCCTTCGTCCTTCTCGCGACCCCGCGAGGGATGGCGCGAGCGCGAGGCGAGAGCGCGGGGCCGCAGAGAGGTGACCGGCACCAGCGAGGTCGTGGCTTGCCATACGATATCTGATGCAGAAAACCGGTAAAGGCCGGGGGCCGTACAGAAAGAGGAGGCTGGGAGGCGCGCGGGGCGAGGCGGAGGCCGCGCGAGCCGAGCGAGCCAAAAGCAAAGACACGACGGCGGCGGCGGCGGCGGCGGCGGCACATTGTCTTGGGGTGACTGAAAAATCCAACTCGTGCCTCGTTAAGCACACTATCAGATACAGCTCGAGGATAGTACCCTCCGAGGGAGTACACGACGTGCGCCCGTGTCCCGTGGTCCCTTCCACAACCCCCTCCTCCACCCCGACGTTCCACTCTCCGCCAGCTCGCCCACGTAACCTTGTAGCTGCCGCGCGGCAACCTTCGCTTCGGCCGGGTCGCCCGGTAGCATAATGCGTGCTAAGTGCGGGGGGACCCGATGGGATGGGCGAAAATTTAGCGAAGCGAATGCGCATCACCGCAGCCAGCTTGTTATTCTATTTGACGAGGCGGCCGGCGTGTACTTAATTGTTCGCGTGTTCAACGCCGATCCGAGGGGACGAGTTTTTCGTCTCTCGGCCGGTCAGCTGGACGCGTCGGCTGGGTGGCCGGTCGTTGTTGCGCGCCCTCCTCCCGGCGCATTGTCGCGGGAGCAAGTGTGTGTCGGGAGGTAAAAAGTGGGATAATTAGATCAGTTCCCAAATAGCGAGAAATTCGAATGTCGAGGTCGATATTCGACGTGATGGTGGTCGCCGAATTTCGGGTCCTGGACTTTTCGGGACGACGCGCGTTTAACCCTTTAACGCCCGACTTTTTTATAAGTGTTTTAAGAATAAAATTTGAGTTTTTTTGAACTGAGACTATAAGTAGTGATAACCAAAATAAATATCAGAATTTTATATCTACGAAAAACTACCTCTCCAATGCAAAGTAATGTAAAGTAAAATGTAAAGTAATAGTCTACTTCTGAACGAATAAATTTGTATTTTTTTTTGTAAATATAACGGTAAAGATGATAAACATGGACACACTCAGAGATGGTTATTCAGATGGAAAAATGGTGAAACAGTTACACGGGAAATCAGCATCAGTCGTTTACTTCTGAATAAATGAGTACATGAAATTTTCGCTTTTCGTTTGTTGGTTTCGTTAGTTTGGTTCTTTTATCGTTCGTTTTTTTGTTTATTGGTAAATATGACTTGGATCCTAAAAGCATATACAAAATGAGCAACCTATACAGAGAAAAATGAAGGGTAATCTATATGACATAATTCTGATAGTCAGCTTGACATTTTTCAGCTGAAACCTTACTATATTTGTGAGTGAAGTTTATCCTTCAGAGCGTCAAGCTTACTATTTCAGAAGAATATCTTATAGATCACCATTTAGATAGTCAATCGTCCCTTCATTTTTCGCCGCAAAAAAAGTCACCAACCAGGTTCCACGAAAATAGGTTGATTTCTTGACTTTCATGTCCACCATATTGGATTCGCCATTTTGAATTTCTGTATTCTTTTAATTTCACATTTTGCATCTGAGAAAGCTTCCAAATGTATAAAATTATAACAGATACCAATCTATTTATTTATAGTGCACTTCTAGAGAGTCAGTAACAATGCTAACTATGCCTACTTGGAATTTGACAAAACATGTTATCATTAAAACTGAGCTAAAAACAGATTAAACCGAATCTACATAGAATCTATATACCATTTTTTAGAAGAATTCACCTTTACAGTGCGAGTGCAAAGAAAATATCTCCTTTTTCGACCAAGTTATGGATTCTTAAATGCGTTTCTGGTAACTATAGTTACCAGTAGGCGTTAAAGGGTTAATTGTCATTTCTCGGAAGAGTTATTGAGGGAGTATTTCCTATAGATGTCGCAAGAGTTGCGTTATTATTATTATTATTTATCTGAAAGTCGTCGGGATTTTCTTGATTTGCAGCGTCGCTCCCAGGAGACGCGAGGAAAGACACAGGTCCATTGTGAGGCGCAGTAGAGCGCGACTGACAATTTAATCCTGAATCCATCTCGCCTTTCTTTCTCTTCCTCGTTCTATTTTCCCCTCACCCTTCCTTCCCCTCTCGGAGCAAATGAAGAAGGAAATGGAAAAAAGCAGCTTTTATGCGCCGCCTCACGCGATTTGTATTCGTGCGCGGCAAGTAGATCGTGATTGTGTGGAGATACTGTAGATTTATGGCCCACATTTAAAACTACTCTATTGTGACTTATCTGCTACTTTATCTGCGACTCCTACAACTCTTTTAGTTTCTTAAATCCTTTAATTCCTTGTAACCCGGAGCGCGCGCTCCACGCGAGTCCTCCGCGAGGGGAAACGCCGCCGACACGGAGAGTAACGATCTCAGCGGCACCTCGTGTGAGAAATTGTGCTTTCCGATATTTGTCAAGTTTTCGTGACATTTGAGATATACGAGTGGACGCAATTTAATGGCCGAGTCACGGCACACCCAGCTCTCGTGGATTTGTGGGACAAACGCACGCTAGCTTCATAGTAACACGAGTGGAGCACACAGAATGAGTCATTCGTCTGTAATATGTATCAGATAATTTCTTATGCGCCACAGGCTGGGGTGCAAACAAAACCAACAACTTCTGGCCTGGCAAATCAATATTGATTCAAGGAAACGTCGGGTATCTCGCTTCTACGTTGAATAATGCATCAACGTTGTGTTTGTATGTTCCAGGACTGCAGGAAGCGGAATTATTTTATGTCAGAGAGGGCGTCATAAACAAGTATGCCATCAAGTTCATCGTTACCATACCAGCGCAGGTTCACAAGCTCCACTTCACGTGGGAGAATCTCTCCGGTAGACCGGTAAGTTCTCCCGGCAAATGCATATTATTAGGTGTGTAATTTAGTTTCGAGGGTTTCTTTTTTTCGTCTCAAAACCGAATTTACTTGAACAAGATAATGAACGAATACCTTAGTCAAAATATTTTCCTTCGTTGTCCACAACTTTTTCCCATCTTTCTGGCAAGAGATGGATTCCGCGATGATGAAAAGACTCTTTTTTCGAGTTGATCCAATTTTCAATAAATTTTCACACTTGTTCCGAGTTATGAAAGTGTGCATCCCCTAGAACATGTTGCATAGACTAAAACAAGTGATAATCGGATGGAACAATGTCTGGAGAATACGCGGGGTGCGATAAGACTTGCCATTCTAGCTCTAATAGAGTCTGCTTCACGCTTGATAATGCAACACGAGGTCGAGCATTGTCGTGAAGAAGAATCACTTTGCATTGTTTACTCGCAATTGGTGATCGTTTTTGGTCGAATGCTCGCTTCAATTTGTATAATTGTTGTCGATAACAATCAGCGGTGACAGTTTCATGCGAATTTAACGGTTCATAGTATGCAACACCTTCTTGATCCCACCAAATATACAGCAATGTCTTTGAACCGTGAATATTGCACCTCGAAGTGGATATTGTTGATTGGCCTGGATCAACACATGATTTTTTTCATTCGGGATTATCGAAATAGATCCATTTTTTATCCCCAGTAACAATTCGATACAAAAAAACTCTTCATCTTTTGTCTGAAGATCAACGAGATGCAAATGTTCAACCAATTCGCAATGGCATTTTTCGATAATTTATGTGGAAGCCTTCTTTGTGAATCTTTCCCATGTCATGTAAATGTTTAACAACTATTGTACGATCAACATTTAACTCTCTAGCAAGTTTTGAAGTGGATTACATTGAATTTTTGCCTGATAATGCTTGTAAATCTGCATTTTCAAGCTCTTTTGGTTGTCCCGAGCGATCTTTGTTATTAACATTGAAATCACCACTTTTGAATCATCTAAATCAATATTCACGTGTTTTAATTGATAAAGCAACATCAGCATAAATTTCCGTCAGAATTCTGTGACCTTCAGCCGCCATTTTCTTCTGATTAAAAAACAAAAGCAACGAAGCTCCATTTTTAAGATGGTATTAACATGATTTTTACTACATCTATTGTTAGTAAAGGACCAAATATCATGAATTATTAAAGCACGGAATATTAAAGCATCAAGAAACAATAGCTGTGATCGAAATGTCTTCGACAAAACTGACACTGAGTGCCAAGTTCTCTAGCAAAACCCCCAAAACCAAATCACACTTCTAATAATTTACTGATGTAAGCGCCGAATCGTACAGACATCGCATCGTAGATAAAGCGTCAACAACGCGAACGGAGCATAAGGAGAAATTAGGTAAATAGGACTCGAAAGTATACAATTGGCGGGTTTCATGTATCGACAAATCGTCTGATAAATGAATTTTTAGCAATCGTTTCATTTCCTCTCGCAAATCTAACAAGTCAAAACTTGTGCTGTACTTGTGCTTGGTACTTTCAAAGAATCTCCGCAAAAATGGTCGATTTTTTGCCCGTTTTCCGGTCCCCGATTTTGGAATCGAATTTTATGCCAAAAGATAGTTCATGATGAGACATTAATTACAGAAAAATTTTACGTTGAGCATACGATTGTTTTCAAAGATGTAGTGAGTCAAAGTGGTCACTACCTACCAAGAAAGTATGACACTAATAACGCTTTATCGTACGAATTTTTGCACAATTCGGTATCTGTGGGTTCTTTGAATTGCTGATTATGAATCTGATGTCAGATTAAAATAATTCAAGATAGCAGATGCAACATGGCGGACACACATAGTGAAATAATCATTTACTTTTATTGGAACTGTTATGTTGTGGTTTACTTGGCTAGCTGATTACGAATTTTCTGTTAGGTTTTCGAAAGTAATTTTTTAAACAACAATTTTTGAGTGGAAAAAGTATTTTTTTTGTTTTTTCATAAATAAACATCAAATTCAAATTGATACGTTACATATACGCATAAAAGATACGCATAAAGGATAACGTGATAGTTTCATTTATTATATTTTGAAGCTTTTTCATTGCAGACGTGCTTTTTCATTACAGTTTCCATGACTCTTTATAATTACATACCATTATATCCAATAATATAAAAGTTACTTAAAAATTCAGTTCTGAAGTTGTCGGTTTTAAAGTATTGAGTATTATAATTAGAGGAAAACACTACATTCTTTATCAAACAAGACTCAAATGTTTAACTCTTCACAAAAAACACCATCACATTTTTGTTCTCATGGACAGATCCAAATCCGGACGAGACTCAATAAGAGAATATTATGGTACTGTACGTGCGAAAGTGGCGCTCGAACTGTCGGCTATTGTAGTCATGTTATGACGATAGTCTGATACCTCGGATATAATCAGTATAACGGAGTGCATATACCCAATCCTGGAATCTATAATGTACCCATAACTATTCACAAAGAGTGAATTCGAAACAATTAATCTTGCCTTCACTGGCTGAATAACATTTTTATTTTGTCTTCATTGGCTGGATAACTTTTCCATCTTACCTACACTGAAAGTAAATGTAAATCTGATAGAAAATTCGCAATCAGCTAGCCGAAAAAACTACAACATAACAGTTCTAATAAAAGTAAATAATTGTTTCACTATTTGTGTCCGCTATATCACATCCGCCATCTTGAATTTTTTAAATCTGACATCGAATTCGTAATAAGCAACCCAAAGAACTCATAGATACTAAATTTCGCAAAAATTCGTGCGATAAAATGTTATTAGTTTCAAACTTCCTTAGTATGTAGTGACCACTTTGACCTTCTATATCTCTGAAATCAATCATTTGCTCAATATAAAACTTTTTTGTAATTAATGTCTTATCATGAGCTATCATTTCGCATAAAATTTAATTTACAAATCGGGGACTGGAAAACGGGCACTTTTTGCGGAGGTTCTTTCCAATCACGCTGTAAATTCCAAGTCCCAAGATTGCGCGTATGACTCCACACTGTGACATCAACCGTGTGATTTACGCATGCATGAGTAAACTGCCGGCTTGAAAACGCGTTGCGCAGAGAGCCGGCAGTCTCTCTCTCTCTCTCTCTCTCTCTCTCTCTCTCTCTCTCTCTCTAGTTAGCGTGTAGAAGTTCATGTAAAATATACGCGCTAGGCGAAAAACGAAAACGCAAAGGTGCCTTCGCAGGGCTGTAGCAAGGTATCGACGCAAGCGGATAACGCGGCGTTCGAGGACGAGAATTATCCGTGGCACGGGATGTTTACGCGCACAATATCCCCGGCGAGCACCTCCGCGTCTCTTATTTACGTTCCACCGATTTTTACCGCCGTTCCTCCCACGTCCCCTCGCGCCTGCTCGCGCGCGGGATTAAAGTCGCCCGCGGCTGGCAAGCGTTGAAATTACTCGTTAACGTAGGAATTCGCGTCACCGCGCGTAAGACACACCGGAGGGAGACGAGAGCGAATCTCGCCCGGCGGATCCTCCAAACGAGCGTTCTTCAGGGTTCAGCGATCACACCGTCCAGCCGTTCGAGAGACCTTTAGACCGATCTTTATTCACGTCTCCCTCGCTCTTTCTCTCCCGCGTGTCCTTACAGAGCGCGCGGCACTTATCGGGATTATCGAGGCATATCGTACCTTTCCGTTTCTCAGCTCCTTAACGTGCCGCCGCGCCGCGGCGAGGACCGCCCAGTAAATAACGGACGAGACGTTCGGCGCGTTTCAGCGAGCGGAGAGACACGGCAAGCACCGCGAGATACGTCAATTTGCCAAGCGGCGCTGGATTATTCCGGACCTCTCTCTCCTCCGTTTCTCCTAATCGGCAGCCGTGTTTCTTTCTCTTGCGCAACGCGCAAGCTCCACCTTCTCGTTTTCACCGCTTATCAATGCCATCGGAGGAGCTCGACCTGCTGTCTTTCTCGTCTTGCGTAAACAACCGGACGCGCGAATTAATTTCATGTTACCCTCGGCATGTAACAACGACGCGGCCGACGTGACAGTTGCTGCGATACGCGCTGAGGAAATATTCGCGTATATATTCATACGGGATATAAAATCGAAAGTGGACTCCCTCGCGTCCTCCGCGTACATTTGCATGTGTGTGTGTGTGTTAGTCATCATCGCTCGCGAGGCACTCGTGCCGCTACTGGTCACCGAAGTCCCGTGGTACATTGACAAAGTGGCGGCGAAAAGCGGGCAGAATGCGGCGGGGTGTCCGATTGACTCGTCGACGATGCGCGGAAAAAAAGGACGGATCCAGGAGCAGGACAAAGTGGTCCATCCACTTCTTCCAGCTGCCCCGGCGCGGTGGCCGACAGGCAGGAGTAAAGAGAGAGAGAGAAAGAGAGAGAGAGAGAGACAGAGAGGGAGAGAGAAAGAAAGAGGGGGAGGGAGTGGGGGGAGAGGAGCGAAGACTGACGAGCGACGGCAAAGACATCCGTCACCTCCGCGGCAAAAGCGCGCGGCCTGAATGGTGCTTAGAGCGAGCGCCTGTCCGTCAATGCCGCGCGCGGGAATTGTGCGCCGATAAAGTGGTTCCGGACGTGACATCGTACACGTCGAATTATCGGGAGAACCCTCCTGCCGGCGCGGCGCGGCGGCTCCGCGCGGCTCTCCGAGATTTAAAATTTCCATCGGCTCCGGTATATTCGTGACCACGCATTTTCCTTCCTTCCCTTGCGCCGCCGTTCGCGCAGTCCTGGCGATCGCCCTGACAATATATTCGGCAATTAACGGGAGAGCAGATGCGTGATAAAGCCGCGGGGAGTAACGAACACTTTTATCGAACGCGCGTAATGAAAGTCGACAGCCTCCGCGAGAATCGCACGAGGAGGAGCCGTCGTCCTCTAAAGACGCGCCGTGCGCGATATCCTGATCGTGTCACCTATCGTGAGCAACAACCGCTGCCGCTGGAGAAAACGAGAGATGCGAGAAAGATGGTGGGTGAGAGAGAGAGAGAGAGAGAGGAGACGGGAGGGGGAGAGAGCGAGGATACGTCGTATGCTAATTGCTACGAGCGTAATCTCAATTGCAAATGCGACCCAGCCCGTGTGATAATCGTCTGTTCGGCTTCGCGTTTAGGCGGATCTTAGGTGCGACGAAGCTCCGCTAAGTTGATCGTAAAACATCGCGAGACGAAATTCCGCGCCTCGCGCTGGCAGAATTTTCATAAAACTGCCGCCGCGCCGCTCCCGACGTCCGTTCCGGATTCTCCGGTGGAATTCGCCGGTCCATTCGGAGAGGAAATCGCCTCCAGTCACGGCCACATAGCGCGGTCTTCGTGGCCGTAAAAGACCGCAGAGCAGCGGTAGATAGTAGCGACAAGCCGAGGCGAGTTGACGAGGTACTCTCCTTCGTGGCTAGCCGAGAACCGATCATCACCGCGAGCTAGTAATCAGTCGCGAGCTCTTGCTCCTGCTTCTGCATCATCTAGCCCCGCTTCTTCCTCCTCCCTCTCTCGGGGGAACCTCTCTCTGTTTCCTTCTCCTTTACTTTCTATCCCTCTTTCTCCTTTTCTCTCTCTCTCTCTCTCTCTCTCTCTCTCTCTCTCTCTCGCTCTCTCTTTCTTTCTTTCTCTTTCTACCCTCGTCGTTTTCTCGCCACTCTTGTTCCCGGAGTCCCCTGGACTCACTCTGCTCGCTCTCTGCTGGGCGCAAATTGTCTTCCGAGAATGGTACGTTCGAGATTACAGAAAGGTTCAACGCTCTTGAGATTATGACGGAGCGGTAGTCGGCCAAACCTCACGTCCTTCGACATTGTTCCCTCTATTTCAACTACGCTAGCCCCCCGACTTCTTCGCGAGAGATGCGGCTTTAGCGCTGCACTTATCGAGAGCTTTCTTTCTTTCTCTCTCTCTCTCTCTCTCTCTCTCTCACTTCGTATCCCCTCATATTCTGCCTCCTCTCGACTTTCCGGACGCGCCCGACATATGATCTCGTTTGTCTCGCTCGAGCGCTCTCTTCCACGTTATTGTTCATTATCGACGGCATTTCTGCCGGCGTATCCTTGCGAACGCAACAACAGTTTGCTCTGCCTTGCGACTCCCTCTCGGCCGTGCTCCCATCAGCCAGCCGTAAGACGCCGAAACCCCCGATGCTTTCAGCTACCGTACACCCTGTCGGTGGACATCAGCGACCCTACGGCGTTGAGCAGCTCCTTGAACATCTCTCAGGCCGGCGACATGCCCATCAGCGGTCTGCAGACGTGGGCATTATCGCTGCACTGTGGGCCTTACGACGCGGAGATCGACTTCAATCTCCGTATAAACGTCTCGTTGTCGAGGAGGAACACCACCAGCCTGCAGTTCAAACGGAAGAAGATCTGCCTGAAGGATAAGAGCTATACCGGGCCGGAGGAGGTCCTGGTCGCCGCTTCTGGCACCACTTCCGGCGGTCAGGTGTTTTACGCGGCCATCGGCTGCGCCTGCGCATTTATGGCGGCTATTTTCGTCCTGGTGATAGTCTACTATGTGCGCGACAAGAAGGCCAGGAGGCACCGAGATCCGCTTCAGTGAGTGAAACGTGACTTCTGCAAAAGTACCAACCAGGCTCGCTCAAGAACGGAATGCGAATTTTCAGAAATTTACATCACGATTGCAAATTCCAGGGAGTCCAGAGGCCTTAGCTCGGCGTGCAGCGTGGAGAGGGGCACCGGAGTGGGACCTGCGCAAACCTTTCTGTCGCCGGAAACACCTCCACCTGCGTCCGCTACGTCAGGATCGTCCTACAGAAGGCTGGACGACCGTCCGAGCAGAGAACTGCACGAAAGGATCCAGGAAATCACGGTGCAAAGGTGATTGTCACGCTTTAAGAACTAATGTCGATCGCCGCGCCGCGCCGGATTCAGGCATCAAGAGCGAGCGTGACGAACGTCAAATGATCCTCGAACAGGCTCGATTGCGAGCTGCGATAAAAATGTAAGACGTACGGGATGAAAAGCGTACGAAGTAATCAAAGTGATTTATCTTGCTCGTTCCAGATGCAGGGTACGTCTTCTCAGTATCGAAATGGAGGGGACATTCGGGCGCGTGTACCGAGGTAGTTACCACGAAGAGGGTGCTTCAAGCTCGAGGGACGTCCTGGTGAAAACTGCTGCCGAGCACGCATCCCAATCGCAAGTAGGTTAATGCCGCTCGAACAGACAATCGAAATATGAGAACATGAAGTATTTCCACTCACATATGTCACTTATTCACGATGCCTTCAAAATTCCGAGCGGAACGTTTAAAATTAGATAACTTGATTTATCAATAATACATTATATTATAATTTATTAATAACACATTATATTAGCGGAAATTCGAAAATTTTTATAACTTTAAATTTCTGTCTTAAATTTTAATTTGAAGTAATAGAGGAGAGAAAGTGGTATTATGGCCCTCTAAATATCTCCGTTATCAGGTAGCGAATTCCAGTTGTTACTCATGGAATTATTTGTTTAGTAGTTTGCCGTTATCGATATGGCGCGAAGATGTTAATATATAAATGCTTTTATAACTTTTTATAACGCATTTTTCCTCTTGAACATTTCGAGATGTTTTCCAAGGTACATTTCAACATTTAATTAGACATGCTTCCTCATTGGTTTTTAAACTTGAGCGTATTATCACACGAATATATGTACAATTGAGCATTTTGTTTGTTACTTGTTTGTTATTTTATTCAGCTGTATGTATATCTTTCATGTTAAATGAAACAGCATGACATTTTGCAATGTGGCCCTATAGGGCCATTCTTATGAGAGTGCTGATAAATATTATCTCCCCTTCGAGGCTTTTATACCAAAGTAATTATTCGATAAATCGATTCTAATCTGCAGTTCACATTTGTACTTGTGTTTGCACTGCACTGCTGTCTTTCTGGCAGATTGTATTTTCCAACAAGTAAGTTAATATCCACATTAAAAATTTACAATTATATTTATTATTATCCCCCTTTTAAGAGTTTAACTTGAATAAATATATAATTTCGTAACTAAACACTTTGTGTTAAACACAAGTTATATGTTTATTTAAACTAAATATTTTAAACAAAATCAATGTTTTTTGTATCAAATTCAGTGGGAGGCGACATATTATCATCCCATTTCCTCGCCGACCCATCATGCTGTGTTGCCACATTTTTATAAATAACATCCTAAGTAATAAACACTACATAAATTTGAGTTTATAATCGATTAAACAACACCGTGATAAATGCAATCATTCAGTTCGCACTTTAAAATATTGATTACCGACAAAGTTATTGTACAAAATGCGAATAGAGGGCCATAATACCACCTTCTCCCCTGATAAATTTTCATTAATAATTCCCTTGATCAATGGCATAATTCTTCGGTTTTGAAAAGGTGGCACTTCTGCTACGAGAAGGTTTAGTCCTCTACGGGCTCAGTCATCCGGCGTTGCTTCCGGTCCTCGGCGTCTCTATCGAGGACAGAAGCGCGCCTTTCCTGCTGTATCCGCACACAGGATACAGAAACATGAAGAGATTCCTGCTGAGGTGCAAGTTAAGTAGCGAAGGACTTCCGAGAGCCCTGACGACGCAAGAAGTCGTCGAAATGGCGCTACAAGCCGCCAAAGGCGTGCAGTATCTTCACAGGAAGAGACTCGTTCACAGGGACCTGGCTGCTAGAAATTGCGTGTAAGAACTATAAAAGAATCACTCTCGCTTCGTCGTCTCGTCTGCGCAGCCGTCAGCCCCAGAAGGACATATTTTATATCGCTGCGCAGCGTCTTGACGTTCCCGCGCGCTCTATAAACGCCGGAGCGTCCTTAAATATTTTACTGCTAAACGCGTCGTTTTAAATGTACTACAGGCTCGGTCAGCCCTCTAGCTGAATTTATGCGCCTGTACGCAACCGCGAGTCGTTACGTCTCGTTACCGAATTAATTGCGCGAGTAGACTTGGTAATAACCGGTGTGTTGCCGCGAGAGAGAGGCTTTAATTGGTGCTCGCCCGGCTTTTATATTGGGGAAGTATTTTGGGAAATTAGAACGACGCGCGGGGTGAAATGAAACCGTGTGATCATTCGCGGACAATCATCCGTCTCAAGAGCTCGTTCATTCTTATCTTTCCAGCGTTGACGACGACTTGAGAGTACAGATCACGGATAATGCATTGGCCAGAGATCTGTTCCCACAAGATTATCACTGCCTCGGCGATAATGAGAATCGTCCTATCAAGTGGCTCGCGATCGAAAGCTTGCTCAGCAAGACCTTCACCACAGCCTCCGACGTGGTGAGTAATGCGAGAGCGTTGCGAGAAAATATTTATCAATCATTATAACATTATCGCATAACACATATACGCACAACAATATATGTATTATTTTATTTCTTATAATGCAACTTGTATTATTATTTTTATGATAAATTATTTACTTATAAATCTTTATAATGAATTATTTTTATAATACAACTCGTTGTACTTTATGTTGGGATGATGATATTTGTTGACCAGAGAATATTATTATTAATCATCATCAAGCAGGGAAATTTTGGTACTATTTTTGCTTTTGTATAGTTTTTCCACAGCGCTTGTTGTTATTATTCGCATATATTGTGTCGCGCAAAAATAGATAGCATTCCTGGAACGAACAATCGCTCGAAGCAATAGATGCAATCGTCCGCACGGATTTGCAATGATTGATAATATTTTTAAAGCGCAATTTACACGTGTGTGATATATCGTCGCATTGTTTTCAACGATGTGCATCATTTTATGCGTGATTTCAGTGGGCATTTGGTGTTTTATTGTGGGAGCTGACGACACTGGCGCAACAGCCATACGTAGAAGTGGATCCGTTCGAGATGGCGTCCTACCTCAGGGATGGCTACAGGCTGGCACAACCGATTAATTGTCCGGACGAGTTGTTCGCCGTGATGGCGTATTGCTGGGCCATGTCAGCGGAGGAGAGGCCGACTTTTAGTCAATTGATCATCTGCTTGCAAGATTTCCACACTCAGTTGACGCGATACGTTTAACGTGTGGATCGGACGTGTTGTAAGATAGAACCGGAGAAAGAGAGAGAGAGAGAGAGAGAGAGAGAGTTTCGCTCCAGTGCGAGGCCTCCCCCTCTATCGAACTCTTGAACATATCGAAACTCGCATCGGCGAAGTAGTATCGGGACACCAATAGAGAAGCTTGTACATATAAACGTAGTACTTAAGTGCTTGCACAACTTGAGCGTTTCAGCAAGAGTCGTGTATAGGTAACCGATATTCTGATGTAACATACACATACATAGATCCCTTTCCTCTCCAAGTCGTTTGACCAAGCGGTCCGCCTGAAGGAGCGACCGCCGGTCAGGAAGAAGTTCAGAATAGAAATCCGTTCGCGCGACGCGATCCGTATAAAGGCATTAGAAATATCTGAGTCTTATAAAATCGTAATATCAGTAATATGAATACGTATAAAGTAAATAGAACGGGGTGGAAATTGGCGAGTGAAATCTTTTAGTTGAGGCATCTCTGCTGCAATTTGCAATTCCGAATGTCAGGTAACAATTGGCTCGGAGGACGCGTTTTCGCGTTAGCGAAACGTTCTGTGCAGCCAACGAGCGCAACGTATAAAGGTATGCAGAGAGAAAGAGAGAGAGAGAGAGAGGTGTATCTTTCGCGTGAATTATTTATTGCGGAAAGCATAAAGCATTAAGACTGAATTCTGAAGCTGCCGTTGCCACCATTCGTCGTTCGATGTGATTGATGTCGTCGTTGTATCCCGCGAAGGCGGACGAAACGTACGTTATCGCGTTATCGCTCACTGCCAATTCCGTTTACGGTAAACCGACACCGAGCCGGTGAGACGAAACGGGGATGAATTTCGTTCGGCGAATCTGAGCCATGTGATACGCGCTTTGCTTGCCACGTGAGTGTGTCTCGAGTGTGCCAATATCTTCTCTGTATTTTTGTACATATCTCTGTAGTGTGCATATACGCGTTGTCTGTGAGTATACGAGTCGACACAGCCCTGAAAAGGGCGGACGTACTGACTATCGTCCGGAAAAGTCGAAAATCTCAAAGTCCGGTGACTGGGACAATTTCTCGAAGAGTTTGACTCGTGTAATCACCTTCCAGCGAGTCGTCCGACTTACGAAATTCTGATAGACTCCTTTTCGGAACGATGCATGCCCACCAAAGGAGCGCGTGTAAATAACGAAGCTGCGAGCCTGAGAGACTACAAATGTACAAATCGCAGACTCCACAAGCGCAATAAATTTCTATCTACGGTACTACACGAGAGAGAAAGAGAGAGAGAGAGAGAGAGAGAGAAAGGATGTTTTCACTCGGATCCTCATCCCCCGCAGAAACTAACAATGACTCTGGAAAAACAGCTGTAAAGATCGTTCCTTCCGAAAGGAAGGTCGGATTTAACATCGCCAGCCGGTTATTTCTGGACGACGGACCTGCCCTCGCGACGAGCCAGGAAGGGTGCGAGCGCGCCGCGAGAGAAGAGTTTCTGTTTTCTCGGAAACCGTTCGTCAAAGCCATATGTTACATTCTAAACGAGTCCTGTAATTCGTATGACAGCCATGCAAGTGTCGCGTGAGAAAACTAACGTCGTTTCCGTAACGTCTTGTTTAGAGTGACGAGCGTGGTGAAGTCGTCCCGTGAGATCTCCTTCACTTCCGGGTACACACTCTTGACGTTTTCCTGAAATCTGCATAGATAATGACGGAGAGTGTGCGTTGTGAAAATATAATACGAATTAAACCCGATGATGCGCAAGTTGTCAGTCAATTTTTCTATCGAATCCTCCTTTGAACGCGCAAAATGCCCGAATGAACGAGGAAAAATTGTTATTTCGTGCGGATATTTACGACAGGAAGAGAATTTCATGCTGTTTTATAGGTACATTCATCACCTCGCGAGCGATGCAAATGGCACGCTCGAACGGCTAATTGCGTTCGCAGTATTTTCAAGGTATCATTCATAAACGTCCAGGAAATAATCCCACATTTCACTCGCAAATTCGATATTTCTTAATCACCAGGATGCTAACAAGTCAGCCGTACCAGTGTTTATTACACATTCTTTTTTACGGCAGCTTTTATCGTCTCGATGAACTCTCTACGAGCCCCGCTCTCGCCGAGCGCGTATCTCATGAACAACGCATTGCCGTGCGTTATCAACGGCCGACACGCCTGTAGAGGTGAGTTATTTTAAAATCCCCCTTATTTGTTCGCCGACTATTTCATCCGGAGATCTCTCGTTGTTTATATTGACATTGTTGCGCGCAACGCGACGAATAAAACGAACGCGCTCCGCGGGAGCAGGATAACGACCTTGCGCCGTCGGCAACATTAATTTGCAGCATATTTACACTGTCAGGATACGTCTCGGCGCGCATGTACCTTCGGTGATTCCCCAATAATGCGAATCCGATTAGGCACGCTACATTAAGCACTTGGTTTTCTACGCTCCATCAGCGGTGAATGCGCCTGCATCGCGAGATCGGTCGGGGGTGCGCCTGGGAAGCCGGAAACCCCGGGATACACACACGAGCGTGGAAAAAAATATAACAAAAGAAAAGGAAAAGATTCATGCAGGGCATTTCTCGAGTAGTGCCCGATATTTCAGAACGTGGCTTTTGAAATTATTCTATGGTCGTTTTATTTCTTCGGATTAGTGAAGAAAGCCCGGGATATTACTTTTCTATTTCATTTACAACCGCTGCTTTGCAAAATTACATAAATACAAATATTAATTTTTTATCAATTACCGGTCTGACTAAAAAGTATCTACTTGTCTGATTTCGATGGGAGATGTTAAGAGAAGGTGAAATAACTTTATAGAACTTTGATTGAACTCCAGAACGAGGTCGTACGTTTAGATAAATTTTTCTCCGCAAAATGATCCCTCCCACCCAGAATTAACTCAAGTCAATTAGGATATATCCTAAAGACACCCTCTGTATGCTCATTCGACACATGGCAACGTTAAGGGGAAAATTACATGCAGAAAGCCGTTTTCAAGGTTATTTTTACGAATCTTTTTAACAGAAACGGTAAGATCTATGGAATTGAAATTTTTACAGTGTATTCATTAATGTTCAAAGTATAAAACAAATTTTATTGAATCACAGGAACCGATCCAATTAGTAATTATAGATAAAAATGCAGTCATCCATTTGCGAGCTCTATGTTTGCTATCAACATAATTCCGGGTCTCTCTCTCTCTCTCTCTCTCTCTCTCTCTTTCTCTCTCACTCAGCACTCTAAAACCAAAAACTAAGAAAGATTTTTAAAATATACGTTACTATTATAGCCCATACCATTATAACCGTAAATGAAGGCAGTATATTTCCCACCTTTTCTTGATTCAATTTTGCGTTGTAAATCACATAAGTTTCAAGAACTAATCAGGGATTTGAGTTTTCCAGATAACTGAATAGTTGTTCAACATACTCCAATAAGTTTTTATATCCAATTATTCATTTGTGATTATTTATAACAAATCAAAGTTGAAAAAAATGCTTTTCTTAGGGAAAAATCGATTCCTCGGAATGTATTGAATGTAGAGGAGTCTGAAATTTTCACCAAATATTTTTCTGATGTTGTACAAAAACATATTTTTCTCAGTATATTTTTTTGCAGGTTGGATTTTTTTTTATAAACAAATATTTCTACAAAAACGGCCGAAATTTGACTTTTTTGCACTTTTTAGCTCTATCTTCCTAGTTTTTTCATTCTGTATCTCCATCTAATCCATACTATCAATATTATTTTACTCAAAAATGAATGTTTAATCTCTAGTAAGCATAAATATGCAGTTGGACATTTTCCCACAGAAATTTTTTCCAGTTCGATCGAGTTCCATCATCTGGAATCATATGTTCTTATTACGACCTGGTCATTATTTAATAATAATTGGAATTTTCATTAATTTTGTACATCATGATCGCCATATTGAGTCCGCCACTCTGAATTTTGCAAATCTGATTTTAGATTCGTAATCAGCGACCCAAAAAACGTAGGACTACCAAATATTTTAATAATTTTCTCAAGGAAAGTTAATTCAGCAGTGAAAGGGTTAAGGTCCAATCGCGCGAGTGACAGAGGCTCGCTCGGACGCGGTTTTACGACGCAGCCGCGTCGTGACAATCGTTATCGATGAATACTTCTTCGCGAGAAACAGCGCGAGTGCGAGCGCGCGCGCGCGACAGCTGTCGGAGCTCGGAGAATCGGTTACAAATTAATTGCCGGCGTGTTTTGTTTCCCCGACGGATAAAGATTCTCCGGCGTCGAGATACTCGGCTCTTAATGAGGATTCTGCGTCATTGCGCGTCGACCGTCCATCTATCGCCAGTCCGGACGATCTCGTAACGCCGATCTTACGGAGAACGTTTTACGTAACGCGATATCCTGCGGTCGCCTGACCGTCGTTGCACATCGAGCGCCGTCGTATAATTGCATCTTCGGCACAAAAGGCTTAAGTGTACTCGCGATGTTCAGCGGCACGAACGGTTAACGCCTGCTGCGGGTGAATCATTATTCCGTGAGGCACGATTCTCGGCCGGAAAGGGCGACACCGTTAGAACCGCTCTCGCCATTTCTTCGTCGCGGATTTTTTCCACATCGTCGCGCGCGACGGATAATTCTTCGTCAATGTTTCGCGCGACAAAATTTGATGACCTTTCAGGGTGGCTTTCTGCAAGTTGCCAACAGCAAATTTTAAACTTGTGCGTTTCGCTGTCTAACAGCAATAAAAAAATTAATAATCTCGTGTGTGTCAGAAGAATGAAGCAATTAACGCTTGACTGGTAGGGATTTTAGATACGAGTCATAACGAGAAAATGCGCGAGAATTTCCTACTCGTTTTGATAGCAAACATTAAGACAAAGACATAAATACAAATATTAATTTTTTATCAATTACCGGTCTGACTAAAAAGTATCTACTTGCCTGATTTCGCCTGAATTTATGTCTTTGTCTCCCGACGCTGTCGACTGGATTAATCGCCAATTAGCTGAATTAAAATTTGAAGAAAGTCGCTCTTAGTCCTACGCATCGACAGAGATTAGGCTTAATTCCTCAACAGTGCAACAATAAAAGGACTCTCTCCTTCCAAAGCAACGAACGCGAGAAGAATCGTTACAGTTTCGCATAGCCGAAGAGAATAAGGGGATCGGGCTGGCTGAATTTTAATGAATTTCAATGAGGCTCCCGCACCCTTTGTTTGCGCTGAGATTTACTCGGACGTCGGAGGCGACAGCATCCGAAATTGCCTCGGCGCTGACGTGCCGGCTGCAATGGGCCCATAACAGGGTGTATTTTAGAGCGAGCACTTCGCACATCGTAAGAGCCGCGAGATAATGTCATTCATGAGCATTCACCATACCCCTCGTGAGTCATTCACAATGAGCCATTATCACAGGAAAGCCTCGTTCGTCGCCCAAGTAAGTATACTCTGCTCTTCAGGGAGCAACAATGAGCGACGTTGTGCCTTTCCTCTTAAACACGCGTACCGAAAAGTGAACCCAGCCAACACGATTTCAGATGCAAAACATCCCCGATCCGATGTTTCACATCGGCTCGCTCGTAATTGACCTTTTGTTTTGTTCATCGGACAGGACGACAATTTAGTTGCAACGACAAGAATTTACTTGCTGGAGGTTTCCATGCGGGCGATTGTTTTCAATTACCTCTCAAGAATTCTTGTTAAATCTTGCTTGACTGAAGCAGTCGCTAAGTCAACAATCCAAATTAATTGGTCGTCATACAGTCGTAAATATGAATAATTCAATCGACGATGATGAAAATCAATTATTGATCGATGAATAGTCAGTCGTGCCAAAGTAATCGATTGAAATAATCGTATGTAAATACGATTTGCTCGATGCTAATTTCCATCAGTTTAGTCAATCGAAATTTCAATCGATTAATGCCCAACACGAGCTACGATTTTTTTCTCTCTCGTGCGCTCGCGATGCGAAGATGCGAGCGTTAATTAACGCCGTGGAATCCCTGCCTCGTGGATTCGTGATTTTATTTACACATAATCGTCTCTGGTTTAAATTGGTCGCGAGTTTACTCACGAATCTCGCGCGATACCGATCTCAGGAAGCAATTAAAACCACCGGGTCGAGTCTTTTGGAAAAGAAAAAGTATATTCCCCTTCCTCAGTCCGTCTTTGTTACGCTTTGCGAGCCGCGTGTTCGCGGAGGTCATTCCAATTTCCTTCGAAGATGATTGTTATTACTATATACACATCCGCCTTGTGAATGTTTATCCCTTCCTTGAGACGTCTCGCACGACGATGGGAGTGTTTTATGAAAAATCAGTGTCCGGTGTGTATTCGCGGGCGAACGATGAAGACGCAAACGGGGACAATTCTTGTTGCTTGTTTGGCGATCGCGGCGTTTAAAAGTCCAGCCGCCAGCGTCGAGGTTTCATCGAAAGTCGACTTAGATTCGGACGAAAATGAAGATACGTCGAGCAACATGGCCTTCGATGCAATCGAGGATCCGAACAAATCTGCATCATTATCGCGTATGTCTGAACAGCCGACAGCCGATTGGCATCGTGGGAGCGAGCTGGTAAAACCGAGGGAAACGAGGAAACGCCGGATTTATACCGCACGAGTGAGTAAAACGATCAAGACATTGAGGGGGGAAACCTGTCTGTAGGCCAAAGAATAGGCTATTTGCACGAATTTTTTTCGGAAACTAAGCGGACGATTGATTTCAAACTTGGTAGAAATAATAATATACCAAGTTTTCCAAAAGTAACGGATCCCTCCATCTCAGACTCTATGCATTATAGGGAAAAATGACCCGAACAAAAGTGTTAGGGTTTATAAAGTTCTGTTTTTTTGTGACCTCAAATTTAACCTTGTCCTCGACCTTGAAGGTCACTTAAATGTCAACTTGCGTTTTTTAAATAGGAATCCCTATTTTTTATTACACTGTGTTTTTGTACTAATTAATTTGAACAACTTTTGTCTAAAATATTTTTTTATTTGCCTAATATTTTTGGAGATATTTGAGGAAAACTTGATAACTTTTTCAATATTTAACTTACGATATCTCGCTAACTATTTGTCGGAAAAAAAAATAGTACTAGACTTTCTTGCTTTATTTAGTCTCAAGAATATATTGTTATAATAATGCCCTGATTTTTGTTAATTTGATGATTTTGAAATTTCCAAAAGTCGGTAAGTCAAGGTCAAATTTGAAGTCACAAAAAACAGAACTTTATGACTCTAAAACTTTTGTTCGGGTCATTTTTCCTTATAATACATAGATTCTGAGATAGAGGGAGGGGGTCCGTTATTTTTGGAAAACTTGGTATATCTAACTTATAAGAATGAATTTTTATAGTGTTATATAAATAATAATGTAGCAGATACACAAAAAAACGTGACGTGTTTAGGCACGCGCCGTTTCACGACTCCCATGAAATCTCGAGATACGGTAGACTGGAACAAAAACGCAAGTAAGATAATTAATCTGCGAGCTTGCCGCTATCGTCTAAACTAGGAAAATAGAAAACGAACAACTTTTTCAATAACTTTAAGGCATTTAAAAATTATATTTAAAAAATCGTCATAAAAATCGGCAGTTTTATGTTAAAAATAAATATAAAAGTTAATATTTTTGAATTTCGCTAGTTTACACGATAGAGAGACGTGTTTGGAATATATAACTACATGCCGATGTCGATCGGTTCATTAATTTGTCTCAAATCGTGGGAGCCAGTTAAAGCAAAGTTATTTTGAAAGAAATACGTTTAAAATTTCAGATACTATTTAATCATATATTTCTAGTACTCACGTAAATTTCAATCTAATCGGCAATTTCAGGTCCGTATAATAAATTTTCCTCAACTTCATAAAACTCTTTTTTACATTCCTAGAGTTCGTAGGATTGTTTCTACAGCAACATATGATGAAACTTTGATAAACTCAGTGAGCGCTTTGATTTTGACTTATGCGAATAATAGGTTGTAACTTCCGTAATTTTCTGAATTTTTCGATACGGATTTTAAAATGGATTCTTAACGATATGTATTTTCAGAAAATGTAATAAAAAAATTCAATTTTTTTGACCCTACAGACAGGTTTCCCTTCTTAATCGTCAAGTCTCGCGAGTGCGATCCAGTCAATTCTGCCTAAGAAATCGCACCGAGCTTCTCGACTGAACTGATATATTAAGATATAAGAAGCGCGTAACATCGCGCCGCTCCATCATCGGAAGATATATTTTCATTTTGCGACGCAGGATTAATGAAGACAATAGCGGCAGCGCAATTTAAGCCACACCACACAGTGTGGCTAATGAAGTTCATTCGAGCTAGGTGGGGTAGAAATTAATCAATGTCACCGCTCTCCCGCGCGAAAAACATTTTTATTGGCACGTGAGCGACAAGATTTATTATGGCGCTAACGACACCGGCACATATCAATCGATGCCAGATGATTACGCGATTTGATGGACGAGCTCGTAAAACCGGCTCGTTATGGATTTATAGAGAAGCTCGTGTGCACATCGTAAATTTTACAAGCGTAAATTCGTCGCCGTTGTTCGCAGACCGTTTTATCGAGCGCACTTCGACGGACGGGAAGTCGTTGTAGCTGTTGTTACTGAAGCAAATTAACCCAATGAAAGGCATAATTCAACGAGCCAAAATCAATCATTTTGCAGGACGCCTCGTCCAGCCAGCCAAAGGTTATCAATAACATTCAGATCGTCGTGAATGGCAACGGCAGTCTGCCGAGCGTGAATTCGTGCAAACGCGGCATATGCAACGTGTCTGTTTCGTCGAAACCCGACGGGAAAGGAAACATCGTGACCGAGGTGCATCTCAGCATCATCACGAAGGCGAAGCCGGACGTTCTAGAGGTCAACGACGTACCTGTGATCGACGGTTTTCGAGGTGCCAGCAAGGAATTGAACGAACGACCGATTGTTTATCCGACACACTCGCTCAATCTGCTGCATTCGTACTTGCATCGCGAATATATCCCACAGGTGACCAATCTGTTTGTTTTATTGTGCGATGTTAGAGATAGAGAGAGAGAGAGAGAGAGAGAGAGAGAGAGAGAGGGAGAGAGAGAGAAGGGGGAAAATAAAACAAAGAATATTATTTTTTTCTTTTTTGGTATATTTATGTAGATTTATTTTTGTTCTTTTCTACTATCATTTGCTATCATTATTGTGCAAAATTGTACGAAAGGGACAATTTTCATTAATAAATAAATGCAATAAATACATAAATAAATAAATAATTAAAGTTGAAAAAAAAATAAATAAATACATTCCGGAATATATCTAGAAAGTTCTGGAAAGCTTTCCAGGATGTCTTGAACACGTCCGAGGACGAATGGAATTATCTGAGATCGTCGATCTCATTGCGCGAGAATTAATTGAGTAATTAAAACGGCTCTTCGCAACACACCATTGTCTAGAGACAATGATTGCTAGCACTATTGCTTTTCCCTTGTCACAACAGATTCAAACGAGCTACCAGGGATACGGCGAACCGTGGTACCAACATCGACGAATTTTTCAACAACCGCCAGTGTATTGGAATTACCAGAGCTTCGGAGATCGCGGCGAGGGATTTCGGGGACACAAAACATGGTCGCGGGAGAGACCCGTGGTGGACGACAAAATTGAGCCGCCGCTCAGCAAGACCAAACCCAGCAAGGACACCACCTCGTGATCCTACGAGATCGCAGTGCTCTCGCGATGCAAACGCTGCCATGTGTAAAACGGTACGTTGTGGATCATGTTGAATTCGATTGCAATGGATAATAAAGTAAATAAAATCATTATAAAAGTAACTCACGAGTTTAATTTATGTATACAGTGTAAATATAATATACAATATAATCTTGTATAGTTTAAGCAAGATACAGTAATTAAATGCAAATAATTGGTTGCAAGAAACATTAGAAACGATCGTCCGGAATCGGCCGAGCGGAATGTAAGGCCAACGCAAGAAGAGGTTCATTTATTGAGAGACTTTTCTAAACTTCTAAACATCACGAGCGAGACCTTTTCGCTAAAAGATAGCCAGAGTCTGATTGCCGACCTAAGTGAACGTTGCATGGAAATTTACGAAAGTCAAGTGTGAATAAAACAGCACGAAAAAGAAAAATTGTGCAGCAGCTAACCCTGTTAGCTCAAAGAAACTTGAGTATTTGCGTGGTGACCCTGAGGAGATATATCTCAGCCCGAACACTAATTCGCAAAGTGCAATGTCCGAAATTCTGAATCGGAAAAAATTCTTCGTTCTCACGGTAACAGACAAATTGCGGCGAATTATGCGGTTACAGAGGTAATTACGGGCTAATTACGGACAAGAGTGTAAAGTTTATTAATCGTGCACCGTGCGATAGGTAATCTTTCCGTTGTCGTTGACGCCCGTGATGGACGACTTGTGGTTGATCTGCTTGCCATCCGGGCCGGTCCTGCTGGAGGAACTGGAACTGGAGAACACTCCGAAACTATTGCCAGATGGCGCAGGAAGGTCTTCGGCGAATCTGGACTCTAATCCAGGTACAGCCTAAGAGTCAATTCATGAAGACTGTATTAATCGAAGGACCATGTTAATTTGACCGACATTAATATCGAGGAACTGCGCCAACGTTTTTGACTAATATTAATCCGAGGACTACTATTAATATTAATCTAGAGTCAATATTAATCTGGAGACTACATGAATCGAGCTGATATTAATCCAAAAACTACACAAAGACTACATTAATATATATATGTATATATATACTAGTGATGCACATGAAGCAATCGAACTTACATCAAGTTCAACCGACACGGTACCCGAGTAATCGCTCGATCTTTATCAACCGCGTCAAGAAAGATTCCTTGAAGCTTTCGTCTGTGTGTTCAACGAAAGAAGGAAAAAAAAAAATGTGAGACTTACAGGACTGATCTGGCCCGCTTGGAAGCCACCGTTTGGACCTAAACCGATACTGGCACTTGCAACTTGCGGTGTGCCGCCATAGTTCGCGGCCTCGCTGGCCAAGCGATTGTGGAACTCCATATTACTGTGTGACACAAATGCTCCTTCATATATTCGTTTACACGAGATGCTCGGGAGAGGGCGTGCTGGCTGTGAGAGCACACGCGCGAAAACAAAGCAACTCGAGACGATTCGAGACGTTACACTTCCTCATGGGAAGCGATTTGTCATTCACAACCTACTCTCGTAATTTACTCGAACCGATGGAACCAGCGCCTTACTCAAGTGCAAACACATTACGTGATGCTTGCAAGTTCGATCGTGACTCTCTTTTCGTGATTACCTATTCCCAACACCTGGGATGAACGAGCCGCCGAACGTCGGCCCCAATGACGTCCACTGACGTCCAGTGTTGTGTACATCCCCCAAAGCGTAAGGGTAAGGGTAGTTAGGCGTATTCCACGCTCCCGTTTGACTTGGCATAGCAGAATGTTGGGAAGCCATAGAATTGAGGAATCTTCAAGTGCGCATAGGAAGAACCATCACCGAAAGAATGAGATAGCACAGAACTTTGCGACAGTCAATGGCGGATAGTGAATTTTATCTTAACCTATATACAGGAGAAAACTCTCGGGGATATAATTGAACTTTCCTGTTATGGAGACCAGACAAAAATTCAGGAAGTTGCTCAAATAGCGCAAAATATTTCAGGATCATCCCGAGTGTATCTGAAGTGTCCTGAAGATTATCTTGAAAATGTCTCGAGCACATCCACGCGGAAAAAAACTCAATTCGTGCAAGTGATTTTCCGTTAGCGGGAGAACGGATGAAAATCCGGTTGCGAGGACGGACGAATTCCTGCGGGAGATTTCTGTTCGGTCGATTGTTACTCACAAGGAACATCCGCGAGGTGTGTGTCTCCGATTTCGACAAAACTTGGTATATTTGTAGAATAGTTAAAAATAAAAATAGAGTGGCTAAAAACGAGAGATCCATATATTTTTTATTGGCAATGGCTTAGGTTTAAGGGGTGAAACTGCCCCTCAAAGTTTCATCTCCTTTATGCTATCTCAATAACGATTGCAGATAGGAAAAACTTTTTTTAACAAAAATTGTATGGTTTTTTACGCTATACAATTTTTGTTTAAAAAACTTTTTCTTACCTGCAATAATTATCAAAATAGCATAAAGGGGATGAAACTTTGTGAACAGTTTCATCCCTTAAACTTGAGCCATTGCTGATAAAAAAAATATGGATCTCTTGTTTTTAGCCACTCTACAAATATGCTAAATTTCGTTGAAATCGGAGACATACACTTCGCGGATGTTCCTTGTCAGTCGGCGTTCTGAACCGAGCCTGAGCACAACTGAATATCCAGACAAATGTTTTCAGCTACGACGACAAAGACATCGTTCGCCGTCACTTCGGAATTTCCCTTTGTTTTGCATTACGTTGCACGAATTAAGATCTCTTTTTCCCGCGCGAGATGATCTCAGAGCGATTTGCGCTATTTGGGTGATGCTCGAAGTCTTGAGGCGTAATCATCAGATGTGATCGTTAGCGATTGCATGATGTTGAGTGTTAGAGCACGTTTATGTAACGACATGTGCGAATAATGATCTCGCAAATCACACGTTAAAGAGGATTTATTACGAACAGGCTCCTCGTTCGGAAGAGCGAAGATTAAGAGAACAGGATTTCCATAGAAGACACCGAAAGAGAGAAAGAGATAGAAAGAGAAAGACTTACGCTTGATGCTGCGCCTCTATCTGCGCTTGTATCTGCTTGAACATGTCGAAAGAAGGGTCGTTGAAGGTAGGGAATTGTCCCGGGAAGAAGAATCCGGATCCTGGATTATACAACGGATCTGCGAAGAATGAGACACACGTTAAAGTACGAATAACGACACGACGTCTTGGAATCATGCAACATACACATGCGGCTACATTCGGAGCCATAAATCGTTCAGGCTCATAAGGAACGCTTATACGCGCGAGTATACCTAAATAAATATATAAATAAATGGGTGAATCGATGGAGAACCATGGCTACACTAAGCAGAGAAAGCTGCTTTGCAACTGTTGTAAAACTCATAAATCTTATTGGCGCATGCTCTTGGATTCAGCCAAATTTAAGAGCATACGCCAATTAGATTCACGAATTTTACAACGGTTATAAAGCAGCTTCTTCTGCTGAACGTAAACTATGACTCAACGCACGTATGAGTAAATAAATGAAAAATAAATGAGCATCGCACACGCGCGATCACAGAGAAGTGTCGTAAAATTATTCGCTTCGCGAGAGATAGATTGTCCCGGATTTGAAGTGACACTACATCATGCATCTCTACGTGAACCAATCGCCAGCACGGAGACTCTCTCTCTCTCTCTCTCTCTCTCTCTCTCTCTATGCCGTGTAAATTTGGAAATGTAAAAATTACGAAGTCTCCCTTCGCCACTGATCCGTGCTCCGTTCTTTCGCCAATTGTTCTTTCCGTTTTTTCACGAATACCATGAACCACAGCATGCAACTCCGAGGATTCATTCGTTATCCCCAGAGATCTCTTCAAGTCCCTCTTCGTCCTCGGACTGTCGGGCTCATGCTTCGTACCTATTCGGCTAGGATTATATCCGGTCTGATCCGGCGAGTTAGCCTGAAATCCTCCTCGACTACCGATATCCGGTGAACCCGCATTGGGGAATCCTGCCATGGGATATCCCGTTCCCGAATATCCTCCCGTGAAACTTCCAGCGCCGGCGGATGCGCCAGCGGATGCGCCAGCGGACGCGCCAGCAGACGCGAATCCTGATCCACTGTTGGCACTGGGCCACCCATAGTTCGGGCCGGAACCTGGGATAAAGTTGGTGCCAGGATAACCAAAGTAGGGATCGAAACCTGAACCAAAACCAGGGCCAAAGTAGGGGCCGAAGGCGCCTGAGCCGTAGTATGGTCCAGGAGTTGGCGCTGCATCGTCCTTAGACGATGATCCAGGTTTCTGGGGTGAGTCTTCGGATTCGGGCTCATCGAAATTCGAACGTGACGCAAGATCATTCGTCGGTTTCTTCGTCGGTTTCGTGCTCTTCGGAGTTGTGGTGCTTTCGGTGCTTTTGGAAGTGCTGGGTGTTGTTGTGGTGGTGGTGGTGGTGGTGGTTATCATGGGAGTGGAGGCAGGTGTCGTGGAGGTGGTTGTGGGGGTCGTGGTGTCTGTAGTTGTGGCGGGTGTAGTGGTCGCTTTGGTGGACGGAGTGGTTGAAGGTGATGTAGGATCCGTCGTCGAAGGATCTGTCGTCGTAGGATCGGTTGTCGTGGGGTCTGTTGTCGTAGGATCTGTTGTGGTCGAGGAGGTCGTCGTAGTCGCTGGAGTAGTGCTAGTGGATGTGGTGGGAGTCTCGCTCGAATTTGCGGTCTCACCGTTCGAATCATCGACCTCCCGCTTCGACCTGGACATGACGTATCCCGTGATCGACGGTACATCTCTGCGTACTCCTTCATCTTCGATGAGAAATGAAAACAGAAGAACGACTGTTTATATCGATTGTCGCTAACGAGGTGACTTGGATGGTTGATGATGCTCTGCTACTAGCCGAAACCAAGTCGTTAGTCTCAGCGTGTCTTGCGGCTACCGCTCGGGAGATTCCATCACCAGGAACACATATATATACGTATGACGTGTGACGAAATTATGACTGACCATAATGTGACACTAAGAGTGATGTCTCATGAAGTCAATGTTCGAATGTTGTACAATTTAGTAACACTTAACATCGAAATTATGTCATCGTCTCATGATACCAGTCTAGATACACATAATGCGGTGAGTATTCGAGTGGAAAGACCAGCCATCAGAGATCATAATATTCGACCTTGACTCCACCGTACCGATGAATAACAGTTTGCTTATGCGCTACCGATATTACGTGGTGCTGATCGCTCTGCGGTCACGTTAACCCGATAAATCACGTATTTGTGATATTTCCTCTTTGACAACATATGTTTGCGTCTGGAAACACGCGCGACAGATAAGTTGACTTCTAAGTACTACTTTTCGCCGTATTTCACTGCATTTCACCGTACCGCGTTTAAATGCATATATTAAGACAATTACAGTCTTTTCTCTCTCTCTCTCTCTCTCTCTCTCTCTCTCTTTCTCTCTGGTCTAATTATACGGTTACCGAGAGAACACCTCGGTACTCATCAGTAGACGTGAATTATTTAAATCTTACATCTTCAAGACAAACGTCATGTTACTTTTATGCACCTTGATCAAAATAGACGCCTCTTGATAGGTTAATCAATATATATATATTTGTTCATATTGTACATGATATATCATCGCGGGAATTTATCAACACAATAATCAGTCGCGTCGTGCGTGGGAGACGGCGAGGAGAAGAAGAAATGAAACGAAAGGATCTTTTCGCAGGTCAAGGTGATGAACGAAACGAGGTCACGGTTCACGAGCGCTACATTAGATTCATCTTCATTTGGTCAACGGCTATTGTGTGAAATTACGTGTGTGTATAATTATGTGTGTGTGTGTGTGGGTGGGTAGGTGTATGCGCGGACGAGCATGAAGCCGATGCGGCAGGAAGCGCATACACGATACATTAATCTTGGTTATCACGATTAATATCGCTCACGCTTCGCTTTTAGCAATCAAGGTGACTTAATGACGCGCGACGACGATTGATGACAACACACAATTCCCAGGGTCTTTCGACGCAGCTCTAGACTGCGAAGCGTTCTGGAGGAGAACGGCGGAAAATAAGAATACGCCAGAAATTTTTTAAGTTTACCGTCTGGCCAGTCGAGTGATTTCTCGACGTTCACGCGCAGGAAGGAAACGCTACGTCGGGAATCCGACGGCAAGCCTTTTTCACGACGCCGATTAAAAATCACGCGATCGTTTGCATGCGCGGCGCATTATCGAATTCGTCGTAGAATTTTGCCGAGCGCTCGCAATTATCCAGAAATTCCCACATACCGTCGGCGATTTCTATTTAAATCCGCGACGTCGGCGTTATGTAACTTAACATTGATTTAAATTCTTTTCATCGTTCGTAATGCATGATCAACTTCATGAAGTCCGTTTGGTTTCGTTCACGCGTTATCACATATACGGCCACGAAACAACAAAGATTTTTATCTGGCAAAAACGTTTGAGAATGGCAAAAAGCGAGTTTTTATATTCAACTTCAACTTGAATTCTTATCTTCATGGTATTTTCGTGCATAAATGTTAGTGCACATAAACGCTTCGGATTGCGAAAACGATATTTACGCAAAAACAAAAGAAAAATAATTCGCGCATAAGAGAACAATGTCTTCGTATGAAGGTTACCATACAACGTTGACCAATCTAAGATTTTAATTACGACAAATGATGAAATGCCGAAACACTGAAGTTCTCGCGTGTTATTCTCGCACATAAATATTAGTTTATAAATGCTCCGGATTGACATGAACGCAGGAAAGAAAAACAATAATCCGCACACAAAAGAATTCTATCTTTATGAAAAGATTACTTAAGTTACCATTTAACCGTTGACTGATGCAACATTTTAATTACGACAAATAACTGATGCCGAGACATGCAAGCCTTGAACTTACATTATCACGTTAGTAAACGACATCGAGCATGAATGAAAAAGACGGATTTCCTCGGACACTACTCACTTCTAGGGTACCTAGCGAAGCCTGCTCTGGCTTCCGCGAGAGATCCTAGGACACCGACGAGAACAAGCAGCACGAAGATCCTAATATCCATCTTTCTCTGATTGATCTTCGATCAGTCGAGGAGGAAACTCTCAACGCGCGTAGACCGGAGGATAATAAAAACGTATACTTATGTATGCTATTACTTGTTAGTTTTTCACCACTGTGCGTTTCGTGTGAGCGTGTGCGTGTATGAGCGCGTGCGCGTATAACAATCGTATGATCCTGATGTTGTCGCAGTTCACGAGGGAATGACTGACTCAGCTGGTGCCGCGATCATCTTATATAGCGTTCGCCCGTATCGGCTCTTCGTTACCTCCTGGCTGTCCTCTCCGCGATACCACGTTCGCGAAAACTCCGAGAGAAATTCTACGTCACAATGACGATAACCATTGCGCGCGTAATCACCTCCAGGATGCGTCTCCAAAAATTTGCACATGTCGGCGGGAATCTGTCGCGTCGCTGGGAATCCATCAGCCTATCACACGCGTAATCGCAATCGTTGGTACGTTTAACACCGAAACTACCAAAGCGCTCCGAATGATCGTTTTGTAATTCCCTTTAAAAATTATTGAGATTTTTTTATAACGATACTTTTCGCACTTTTAGCGAATGTCGGACGATACTGAGAAAAATGAATAAAAATTCCCTTTAAAAATTATTTAAATTTTTTTATAACGATACTTTTCGTACTTTTAACGAATGTCGGACAATACTGAAAGAAATGAATAAACATTTTTCTTCTCTTGCATTTTTTTCTTTTTTCGAAAACTCACCGTTCTCACCGCTCCGTTGGAAACAGGTGGTGTTAATCGTCGGTAGTTTCGCAAAAATTGCGAAAGAGATCAAGCGCTTATTCATTATGAATTCTTTCGCTATAATTGTATCTCGCAAATGCGTCACTAAAGGCTGATTAATTATAAAAAATAGGAGGAAAATGATCTTTGCCTTGTAATTTTATTTGCGGGAAATCACTTCGTTATCAAGTGATACGCGAGCGATTGAAATGTTTAACATTTCTTCACGTCCCGCGACCGCGCATAAACGCTTCAATTCTCCTTGTTTACTCTATCACTAGATGCCTTTCTTAATTGAATAGAATCAGACCTTGGCCGTGGTCTTGCTCGCTTGTATATCGCAGCTCCGATTCTTGTTTCGTTATTTGTAATCGGAAAGCCACACGATTTCAGCTCGGTAATCCACGCTGCGAAATGATAACCTTGCGATAACACAAGGTCATGAATAGGAAATGTGATCGTCATCGTTGTAAAAACTTTTCTCTCCTGAGTCCCTGATATGTAATGTTATATTCAATGCCGGAATGACACGACGAGAGCGTGAAGGATTCTTTCATACGGAACGAAAAGTAAGACTACCAATTACTCAATCTGCTTCATTTGCGCGAACTCTTAACGATGCTTACGTTTGCGAGAATCCAGTTGGCATTTTTATTAATTTGCGGAATTGGAGCAATAAGAAGAACGGAAATTTCCTCGCAGTGCTTAAAGAGCTGCCTCGTCGTTATATTGAATGCTGCAAAATGCACGTTTTTTCTCCGCAGAGTTTCAATCTCCTCGGATTATTCGGTTTAATTTAGCCAATTAATTTGTTGATTAATATAATTTTATTTCTCAGAAAAGGAAAACGCATACAATTAGTAATTACAATTTTCAAGAAACGATGATTAAGTATATATATATATATATATATATATATATATTAATATAATAATCGCAATAAACTTTAATAATAATTCCAATAATCATTGGTGCAGTAATTATCACACAATAAATAATGTATAAATCTTAATTACGTGTGCAACTTCTAATTCAAAGATTGCAAATATTGCATTACTGATGTCACACGATATCAGAAGATAACTATTATTATTATTATATTATTATATTATATTATAATTATTATATTATAATAATTATTATTATATTATAATTTTCAAAATTTTATTTATTCAATTTTAATTTAGTTTTCAGTTGCCTACGGCTATAAGAACGGCGATTCTCACAATGCAAATCCATTACGCTAACTAATTACAGTTTAATATATCTCCGATAAACAGTTTTAAGACATAAGAATGTTCCCTCTATAATTTGTTACATTTCACTGAGTCGAATTATAAAATACGGAAAACTGAAAGAAGTTTCCTCTTTCTTCCCACCGTATCAAAGCCCGACATTCGATGATGCATGTGTGTATTCAACTGATACATTATCAGCGGTCACATTCGACGGTCGATATTTAACGCAATTTTTTTGATTTATCGTTAATAGTGACAATCTACTGTGTAACTGTTTATAAATAACAATGGTCCGTTGTAGTACGGTCGCGACCGGTTTTCACATCCTGCTAGACTCATAAACGATCGAGGATAATCGCGATTAATCCGACGTTCCCTGGTCCCTACAGAGTCACGAGAAGCTCGCAGCTTAAGCTGCGTATTTTCCAATCAGTCCGATCAGGATAATACTGCAAACGATTGATTATCGGGTAGCGGCTATCAAATTAGTACCTTCTCGGTTGCATTCGCGGAACTTGCACGCGCGACCGTGTCATTCGGGCGAATTATGGCCGGTGCGCGAATAAAATGTCTTGCGAACGCGATGCACCATCCTTTTGTCCACGGTGTCATTACGTGTTTAGTCATGGCGTGCGACGTGACTCAGGTACGCGTGTTTTCTCAACAACCGATAAAAATATTCCGTCTCGATGAAAGACGCTGATGCGACGGAAACGCGGAGGGCGGAGGGGGCCGAGACGTTAAGGTGTCGCTCGACGACTCCGCCATGACGACGCGACGATGTTATTCGCCTTGCTTTGCAAGTATTAATATTTTTGTTTACACAGTTGCAACGACGGCGCGCGTGCAATCGCCTCGCAGACGAATTTCTGCGGCGACGTGGCTTCGTATTCCGTTTCCGGCAACGGCCGACTTGTACGTGTGTGCACAATTTTTCCCCTTTATCCACCGACGCAAAAGAGCACAAAGGTAAAACGATGCGACTCTCCTTCGAGTCTCCTCGAGTTTTGCGCTCGCATCTTCCGTCGGGACAATCCGTCGTCTCCTTCTCCCTCTCTCTCTCTCTTTCTCTCTCTCTCTCTCTCTCTCTCTCTCTCTCTCTCTCTCTCTTTCTCTCAGAAGAAGAAGAAGAAGAAGAAGAAGAGACCGTTACATCGTCCATGACACAGGCCGTATTTGTTATTCGATGATGTGCACAGCTTTCGACACTTTCAGACGCGCGAAAACTCTCTCGATTGAGCCGAGTGACCGAAAATATTTTCCACCAGCGCCGGCCGTCTGCGTCGCCTTGGCGAATTTTTTTCTTCCTCGAGTGATCGACTGACGCGGCTATCTGGGAAATACCCAGCGTGAAACTTGATTACCTCCTGCGCAATAATCCGACAATCGCTTCGCTTCTTCCCCCCTCTCCTTCCCCGCCGTCCGACCGGGGCTCATTGTTCTCCAAAATAAAGTCTTCGAGATCCATGTGACCACCGTGCTGAGAATTGCATATTCATGCTTCCAAAGAAATCATGCAAAACATCCGCTCGAGTTCGGCGCTTCAAGTTCGTTATCAAGATGAAGGAAGTTCAACCGTGTCCCCGATGCTTTCATTCGTCAGATGTATCGCGTAGATTTCTCAATTTTATGACTTATTACGCGAGAAGGCATAATGAACCTTTATGACTGCAAACTGGTGTTGTTCTTGTAACTCTCAAGGATCGCTGGTGTCGGCGACGTTGGCGATTTTCGCGCCGAGTCGGTGCATAACGAAGCAGGCGAAACGCGAGAGGAGTTATGAGAAAAGGGATTTTGTTAGCTGAGATTATGAGTTTACGGTATAGCGGACATATTATTATACCGAATAACGTGTTCGTTTGATGAATGAGCGGCGTGAGTCATACGCAGGTAACAGTATATGGTAAACACGCGAAACGCGCATACCGCGCTGAGACGAACCGCAGATGAGTAGATCGCCGACAGATAAAATGATCAATTGCGCACTCTGGCGTAATTAGTTTTCCTGATTTATGCGACCGTATTGATAAATTAGAATAGCGATATGTTCACGAGGAATGTTATAAGCGGGAAAACCTTTGTCGCGATTCTCCTCTTCGTAGTAAAAGTATGAATAATATTCCGCCGTGTCGGATACGTTTATATAGAATCCTCAGCAGGTTCAAGTTCCGGCAGTCGATAAGCGACAGAGTATGTAAGTTAATGCAGTAAAGTATCCACTCTGATAGAGTTATTAATTATTCTTATTAAGTAAAATTTGATAAAACCGGTGAATAATAGATTTAGACTCGTGTCTTAATAAAGTAAGACGACTGTGAAAGTAAAGCAATATTGAGCAATAAAAATATGAATAGTATATATAAATACCACATATGTCTAATATAATAATATTATTAATATTATTAATAACGAAATTGATGTTACTGTCTCGTCACTCGTGTCAATTTCGACGCGACATTCTCTCGCTTGAGTATTCACCAACGTCGTCGCGGAATGCAATATCGATAAAATTCTACAAGAAAAATTCTACAAATGAAGTAAACGTCCCAATGGCCGGACACGTCTTAGTATCCGATCACCTCGAAAAAAAAATTTATTATTTATTTTAACAATAATGAAAGTAATAATTATTATAAAAAAACTCCAATATTTTTTACTATTAGTTGAAAAAAAATATACCCAATTTGATACTTTTATGTTGAAATAAAAATTAATTAAATAATATGCACTTATGATTGGTCAATTGGCAAAATAATGGTCAATCGTTAATAAATTCATTAAGAAGTAGCATCTATATTTATATTATTTCCTGTTAGCACATGCTAAGTTTCTAATTGCGGTCAGACACTGGGACAAATTATATCTGAACATTGGGCCATAATTTATTTCAACTGTCCGGTCACTGGTACATTAATGCGCTTCATTACTTGTGTAAATATTTCATTAATAACAGATGTATACATTGGTTTAAATCATTTTTCTCTACTGAAAGGAATCTTAAGTTTTCGAATAAATGAAAATATTTATATCAAAATTATTCTTCATATTATATATTGTATTTTTTATGACGACCTACGTTTAAATGTCCGTACTGCGACATTTACCTTACTTCCTTCCGGTTCCTCCAACGAATTTTCGGGTGAATTCTCAGTCGATCGTTCCTCCGCCTCGAAATTCGATGGCGGTTTTCTATTATCGGTTGCCGAACGGTCATTGAGAAGCACATTTCTCCGTCGTATTTGCGTCATCGCACGGCGACTCTCCTGAGGAGAATTACGTGTGGCTAACGCGTCCCGCATTTTAATAACGTCACTAAGGTCGTACGTAGTTATTGAAAAAGGGCGCAGCGTTGGCGCAGCCAAGTCAGAACGTCTTCGGACATGGCGAAGAGCGTCGGTAACGTCCTCCTGTTAGCATCCGTGCTGTCGTTCGCGCGACCAGGTGAGAGAAATATTTTGGGAAGCTAAAAATACAAGTGTCGCCTGCACGTCGGCGACGTCGACGTCCTCGAGGAGAGGAATTTATACGACGGGTATTACATCGCGAGTGCCGCCAGCTAAGGTGTTCCTTTTAAACCTGTTATGCGCGCTCATGACGATTGTAAAGTGCCAGTTACGATAAAATCCCCTTGAGTTCTCCGCAACGCATATTGATGCAAATAGTGTCAACAGTCAAATTTCGAGTCTGATGAAAGCGAGCAACAGTGGCCTCGCCGTTATAATTTCAGCCAGCCGATTCGAACAAAACTCAAGTCCCTAACTTTTAAGGCTCACAGCCGCGGATACATCAGTGCGAGAGGAAACAGTAATCGTAATACATATTTTTTATGTTCTTTTTTATAACATGTACCTTTAATTGTATGTAGTACCTTTAATTTTATGTTGCTTTTTTCCGCACATTTACATATCGGCAATTATTAATCGTAAAATTAGGGATACGATAGTGACGACCGCGTTGTTTCGATATTTTTTGTTACAAGTACAACGCGACATTTAACTTTGTACTAATGCAGCTTTTCCAGCGCTAGCCGCATTCCTCATTTATCTCTATGACGCTCTTGGAAAAACACAGTAGCCGGGATCGCGGTAGCGACATAAAACCAGTGGCGCTATAATGCGCGGAATTGTGAATAGTCAGCAGTGTCCATTCGACTGCGATTTTACGCGACGCAAAAGCGCGCGAGCAAACATCGAGCGCTTGTCGAGGCTGACTTACGATCAACGTCGAGACTTGCTCGAGCGTACAGCGGCGCTCGGGGAAGATTGTCGGGATCTGCTCTTCCTACAAATACCTTCTAATCTCATTCGATAAATTGGCACGACCGAAATCTTCGTGAGATACTCCTCTTCTCCTTTATCGGCAACTATCACGCCGGAGGAGACGACGACTTGCAGATTCGCCGGCGAGTCGCGAGTTAGAGATTTAATGGCGCCGCGCACCCCTTCGACGAAGTCACCCACCCCGTAACCGACGCGAGTTACAGAAACAATCTGGTGAAATGCGAGAACGCGTTTGCTCCCTTCGCTCCTTGGGCTTCTAGACGCTTGAGCAAACGCTGTTCATTGTTCAGACGAGCGGGTGCACTTCAGCAACGAGCACGAGCGACGATGGAACACGCCGCCGGAACTAACGCCGGAGTCGGTCGTGAAGATGTCGAGTAATGGGGAACCTCAGGCTCGTCTTCTCTCCCTCGTCCCTGTCACGGCGACTATCAGCCTAAACGCGGGACACAACAATGCGCACTCCGTCAGCCTGGGTGCGAGCCTCGACGGCATCAGTCTCTCGGAAAGTAACAGCTACGATCACCCCGCGAGCTTCGGGGTGAATGATGGGTGTGTATGGAACACCGGCGTGGCCTGTACGACCCGGAATTTATTTATAATTCATTCTCGGGGGCAAGAGCAAGATCGAATGCACGAGAGAACATGAAAAGAAAAGAAAATTTAGGAACTCGAACTAGAAGCGTTTGATACGCGTTTCGGTTTGCCAGCGCATGCTCGTTATTTAGCCTTGTTTAATTTTTATTGGAACGCGAACGTGTGTAATCGTTTGCTTCGATATTGTTTCTTCGAATGCCTCGACTGTTGAACATCAACATTTTTGGATATTTCTTGCAGGGGAAGACACACTCAAAAAAATGTTTCGTCGGTCCAGCTAGAAATTGTAAACGTTACAGTTAAAATTTTTCGCTAATTTTTGTATCTGCTAGAACATTGTAATACACAGAATTTACAACAATATTCTAGCAATATCTGCTAGGCCGATTTTACCGTAGGAAAATTTAGATCCCGTAGCTAAATTAGGAATCACTGCATCAAATGAAAATAATAATAATAATAATTATTTGACTGGGTGCCACAAAAAGATTTTCTTGCTAAATTCGACAAACAGTCAGTCATAAATTCTGTTTCTGTCATTTATATTGGTTAGATACAAAACATATGCAATATCATATTATTTGCTAGTCACTTAGCCATTTCAGCTAATTTCTCGTACAAATAATTTTCGCTATGACTACAAAATCATTTTTCTTAGTGCAACCAATAATTTTTTTCGTACTGTTCAGTGTTGAAGATTTGAGGCAAAAGTAAGATGTTTTCAAAAAATGAAGAAAACAATTCCAAGTTCGCTGAACTGAGATTCGGAAATGACCATGCTTGCAGATACGAGGTGTCGTTCCTTACTACTTCGATATATGTGAATGAACGATTATTGTCTCACAGATCCTCCGTTTCGGTGAGCAAATCAACGACAGTTTCGGCAGGACTATCGGGAATCTCCACCGCGGGTGCGAAAGCTTATAGTAATGGTAACAACGCCGAAACCGAAAGCCACTCGCTCAGCTTCGGTCAAGCATCTGCAACTTCGTTCGGAGCGGTCGAAAATGGACGAGCTATCACCGGAGCCGCTTCTTCTGTTGGTACCTCGCAATCCTTCGCTGTAAGCGGTGTTGGTCAAGGACAATCCTTGTCGCAAGCTGATGCAGTCAGTGTGCGATATCCAAATCGGCCGACGTGGAACAACGTTGGTCCAAGCAACGAACATAATGGCGAGTATAATTGCCGATTATATATATCAGCATATCAGCAGTAAAAGAAAAAGAAGGAAGGCCGACCGAAGTTTAAACGCAGTTAAAAATTCATGTGAAAAATGTACTTTTGTTTATCTCGCCTTGCCTCTTCAGTCCAAACAGAAATTTATTACTCGCTGTAATAAATTGGCCAGTGATAACAAATAATTTTATTAGTCATACGAGTAATAAAATAGTTTATTATCACTGGCCAATTTATTACAGCCAGAAATAAATTTCTGTAAGGGAACGCTATCGTTTATTTGCAACGAATCGTATTTGCTATAATTCGTGTACGTTTGGATCAGTATTTGGTAAATCAATAACAACAATGATGTATACAAGATATACTTTTATAGTATCGAGCATTTGTACACGCAAGCAATGAATCACTTTGCTTACGTAACAGTGTATCTACGTGTATCTACGTTATTATTATCTAAACTTCACGGTTATATATAGCCGAAGGTTAAAACCGTCATTTTTTAGGCCGACGCTTCGGACGACCCACCGTGACCATCTTGAGACCGCAGGATCAAAGACGGCCGACATTGAGCATCGAGGCGCACGATACGACCAACCGACAGCAAACGCCGACGATTCACATCTACAAGTGGCAGCCCAATCACAGGGTACTTCCCCGGCCAAGTTTGTCGATTGAACACGAGCTCCGACCGCACGGGTCTTGGAGTGGCCAATCTCACGGATCGCCGAGCCTTCAAGTTTCTGTGCCTTACGGCTTTTCGGCCGGTGACTCAGCTTCTCAAATCAATACAAGTCCCTTGGACCTCGTATCCTCGTCAAGCAGTCAGACGCACAGCTTGGGTTACGCTGGAAGTCGCGCTCAAAGTTTCACGTCGTACTCCCATTGGAATGCCGGCGAACGGACGCAGAGCAACGTAGCGTCTTCCGGCTACGTTTCTGGGGATTTCTTCGGTGAAGGTCACGCCAAAGGTACGTCGGCCTCGGGCTATCGAGGTGGGAGTTCCGTGGCGCAGGTCAACGCTCAGGCCGCTGGGAATGGACACGCTCAAGGAATTGCGTCGTCCGAGGCGGAATCCTCCTTCGTGAGCTTCCCCGAAGGTGAGAGCGCGCTAAGTCCGGCTATTACATTGCAGCACGTTAGAGGCCAGGCGATTTCCAGGCAGGAAACAGAGGAGCAGTTGGACACCGATATAGTTTCCAATCTCGCACAGGCTGTCGGAGAGTTGTTCGACATTGTGTGAGGGCAGTGAACATTCTTAACCGTCCGATAGACGTAATATTCGACAGAATTTCACATTTTCAATATTTTCGTGGTATTTACAGCGAAAGCGAAACCAGAAATTACATTAATAATTACATTAATTAATTAAATTACACATTGATAATTACATTAGTTAATTAAATTACATTAATAATTACATAATTTTATTTAATATTTCTGTTATATATAGTATAAAATTATATTTATATTAATTATATTTACATCCATTATATAGAAACTTACATTATAGATCCATGAGTATTTTATAATTATATATACAAGAAAAAATTGATCTTTGGAATTCCTCTCATGGATACGTTGCACTGCTAAAAAATGCATCTATCGGAGGATCAAGCAAAAAAAAGAGAGATGTCTTCTAAAAATGTAACATACACTCAAAGTTTCATTCTATAGATAGTTATTTCTTTTTTTATTTATTATTAGTACAAATTGAAAAACAGGTAAAACGATGAAATAACAAAGCAACTTAAGTTAAATTTATAATATCCTGTTGTTAGGCTCGACTATTTCTGCCATTTTGAATTTGTGGCGCGCATGATAGCTGGCAATCGTATTTTCTGCAATTTAACTCGCAAGAACAATGAAATATATCCGGTAGTAGAAGCGGCTGCAGATGACAGCACCAATTGAGCTACGATAGCAATTACCGGCTCGTGATGTAATTTATTATTTCTCTTCTTACTTAAAAATCTCTTACGTGCTCCATCGTGCTTCCGAGAAACTGATTCGCAAGAAGATAAGATGCAATGAAATATGAATCTTGCTCGATGCGAGATCAAAAGGGTCAAAGGAAAATAAGGTTCAGAGATTTTGCTTCATATGAAAAATGTATGAAAATGAAGAAGAGAAAAACAAAAGATTCCATTAACACGAAAATAAATACAGACTTTTCTCAAGAGCGGGATTTTCTAAGAATCTAACGTTTCTCTCTCATTTGAACAAATGTGTCAGGATCAATTTTCACCAAACATACTGAGCGATTCATTTGAGGAAGATAAACAGATTTGTCAACTACACTTTCATTTGTAAAAGTTTAGCATGACAATCGTCATAAATATCTTTGCTCGTATACTTATCATGCCACTTGACTTCAATTTCGCGCGGAGTAGGTGAAGGTCAACGTGGCGCGGCGAGGCGAAGGTCAAAGTACGATCTTGAGCTCATCGCGACATCTACAGAAGAATTTGTAGAATAACTTGAGCTGAAACATTGATCGATGTCTGCCTTGTCGATGTTGCCAGTTATCTTCAATCCGCCGGTATCAGCAGATGGTATTAGCGTTATTCGTATCTGTAGACACTAAGATACTCAGCATCTCGGCAGATGCGGGTAATACCCGCATCTGCCGAGTATCTCGTGAGTAGGTACATAGGTACTTTGTTATTTTGCGAGTTATCTTGCGAATCAAAATGCACGATTAGTCTTATCAATAAATGAATAATGTAAATAAAGTAGAATATGTATGTCTTCATGTATACGAAATAATCCGACTTCTTGCTTTCTACTGTCTACGAAATCCAAAACTACCTGCATGAGACGCCAAACGTTCCGTCACCTACAAAATTTATGACATCGACTATATGAAGACCAAGTCGGAATCATCTCGGTGAAAGTCTAGCCGAATCTATGGTGTTCGAAGCCTGTAATATGTGCTCGCCGATGCGACTCAAGGTCACGGCACTGACTCATCCAACGATCGTCTCGTTTGACTCGCAAAAACCTACGGCGAAAACAATTTCGTGGAACCGGTCAGATATTATATGCGGGATTCCGCAATTCGCGATCAACGACGAACAAACGGACCAACTTTATTTACCACGAGAAAATGGAATGCTATCCATCGTGTCGATTTTTATTCGATAACACAGCCTCGGTTAATAGCACACTGTGACATAATAGCGGACATGTAATAAGGTCGAAAGAGCATGTAATGACCGCTAAGCGTTGCCGTGTACGTTTTCTATCAATTAATTCACACAGAGTTGCCGATGTAGATAAGCACCTTAGAGTGACTAAGTTGCTGATAGTCGAGAAAATCTCCGCAGTGTTTTAACATAGTTAATTTCCTGAGCAGCGAGAGATAATTGCACATGTACACACACACACATACACACATATACTCGTGTAGTTCTCGCCGACCGACCACTTCCGTATTCGGAGATAGTTATTCCGCGAATAGCTAATATCTCGTTCGAAGGAGAAAAGAAATCGAAGAATTGATACCTCTAATCCTGACCAGATCTGGTCTTGGAAAAATCAAGATTTGATCTTGAAGAAAATTAAAAGACTTCATTTCTAATCTTGAAACAATCTGACTCGAATGCGGATGTCTTGAAAGGTCTGCATTCTTATTAAATCTATCGCGGTCTTTTTGTAAATATTAAGAGCGTGATTAGTTTTGAGAATTTTTTCTTAAAAACTGATTTAAACTCAAACATGATAATGAACGAATCTTTTAATTAAAATATTAGGTGTACAAATGAATAATCCAAATTATTTTAAGCAGTTATGAAATCAATTTTAAATTTAATAGATTTTCCCGCTCTTTTGTGATTATGCAATGTTGACATATAGCTATTAAAAAGAACATATAGTTTGGCAAAAGGCCCAACGTAACCTTTAAAAGTATTCAGTTCAGTATAGAAAATGGCAACAGATAAGGTGCATATCCGACACTGCATTCTTTACGAATTCCAACAAGGAAAAAATGCTGCAAGAGCGTGCGAATCGATTTGTTCCTTTCTCGGCGAAGGTGTTGTATCGTATGATGTGTACGCATTTTGGTTTAAGCGGTTTAAAAGCGGTAATTTCAATCTAATCAACAAACGATGCCCTGGAGGCCCTCCGAAGTGCGATAATGATGATTTGGAACAATTGCTCGCTGAGAATTTGGCACAAACACAAAAATAGCTTGCAGAACAGTTGGGAGTAACGCAGCAAACGATTTCCAAACGCCTACATGAGATGGGAAAGATCCAGAAAGAAGGAAAATGGGTTCCGCATGAACTTACTGAAACTAACAAAAATCAACGAGTGACAGCGTGTCTTTCTCTTCTCAATAAGCAGCGTCGAAAGTCTTTTTTGTGGAAAATCGTTACGGGAGATGAGAAATGGATACTCTATGACAATCCGAAACGCAGAAAGTCATGGGTAAATCCCGGCGAATCGTCAAATCAAATCGGTCGCAACACCCAATCGCTTCGGAAAGAAGGTTTTTCTCTGCATTTGGTGAAATATCAAGGGCGTACTTTATTATGAGTTGTTGGAATGAGTGGGTGAAACAGTTACCGCGGACTGCTACCAACGTCAATTAATCTGCTTGAGTCAAGGATTGGAACGAAAACGTATACTGGCAAAGGAGAACGTCCAGTGAAATTGTTGCATGACAACGACAGGCCACACATTGCTTCCAATACAAAAGACACCATAATGAGTCTTGGCTGGGACGTCTTGCAGTACTTGCGGCGTATTCACCAGACATTGCTCCATCCGATTATCACTTGTTCCGGTCGATGCAATACGCCTTGTCCGATATGCACTTCCAATCAGTGGATGAGATCCGAAATTGGCTTGACGACTTTATCGTGTCCAAAGACGTAACATTTTTCCGAGATGGAATTCATCAGCTGCCTGAAAGCTGGCTTAAAGTTATATAATAGAAAGCAACGGCGAATACTTTGATTGAACAATTTAATTTACTTTCTTTTAAAATAAACCTTGAATGTAGCTGAAAAAATTGGATTATTTATTTGTACACCTAATATTTCCCTTCGTTTCCTACAACTTTTTCCCATCTTTTTGACAAGAGATGGATTCCTCGACGATGAAAAAATTCTTTTTCGGAAATGATTCAATATTCAACAAATGTTTGCACTTATTTCAAGTTATGAAAATGTGTATCCTCTAGAGCATGTTACATCGACCGGAACAAGTGATAATCTAATGGACCAATGTCTGGAGAATACGCGGTCTGGAGTGCGGTAAGACTTTCCATTCCAGCTCTAATAGCGTTTGTTTCATGCTTGATAATGCAACATGAGCTCGAGCATTGTCTTGAAGAAGGATTACTTTACGTCGTTTACTCGCAGTTGATGATCGTTTTTGGTCCAACGCTCGCTTCAATTTGTAAAATTATTATCGATAACGATCATCGGTGACAATTTCATTCGAATTTAATAATTCATAATATACAACACCTTCTTGATCTCACTAAATACACAGCAATACCTTTGAACCGTGAATATCGCGCTTCGAAATGGATGGTTGCTGGTCGGCCTGAATCAACCTATGACCTTTTTCGTTTGGGATTATCGAGATCCATTTCTTATCCCGGTAACAATTCGATACAAAAAACTCTTAATGTTTTGTTTGACAATCAACGAAATGTAATTGTTCAATCGATTCGCAATAGCATTTTCCGATAATTGATGTGGAACCTATCTTCCTTCTTTGTGAATTTTTCCCATATCATGTAAACGTTTAGTAACTATTGTATGATCAACATTTAATGCTCTGGCAAGTTCTGAAGTGGATTGTGCTGGATTTTTGCCCAATAATGCCTGTAAATCTTCATTTTTAAACTCTTTTGATTGTCCCGAAAGATCTTTGTCGCTAATGTTGAAATCCCCACTTTTGAATCGTCTAAACCAATATTCACATGTTATAATCGATGAAGCAATATCACCATAAGTTTCTATCAGAGTTCTATGATCTTCAGCCGCCGTTTTCTTCTGATTAAAAAACAAGAGCAGCGAAGCTTCATTTTTAAGATGATATTAATACAATTTTACTGCGTCTGTTATTAGTAAATGACTAAATATCATGGATTAATATTAAGGAATTAAAAAAACAACAGCTGTGATTGGAATGTCTTCGACAAAACTGATATTAGTGCCAAGTTCTTTTGCAAAACTCTCAAGACTAAATCACACTCCTCCTAATGTTACAAGAACTTTCAGCAAGCGATATCTATACCCAAGTAGTAATTGGAATTTGAGAATCTCGACGAGATCAAATCGACATTTGTTTCAATCGATTACATCTGAATTAAGCTACCAATTGGTCGCGAATTATATTGAAGGTATACTTCAAGTAATAGCTATACTTAAAGCTGCATGGAAGCTATCTCACGTTGTATTAAAAATTCCCTCGCAGATGAAACTATTAGCAAAGATGTACGCACCAGCCGGAACGATCACGAGTGTATCGTCCATTTAGTAATTATCTGATTTTTATGACTTTTTTATGCGCTCATTTATTTATGCGCAGCTATACCGGCAATCGTCGATACCGGTTCGAACCGTGAGAACAATCTACGAACAAGCGCATACGCGTGACGTTATTCCCCAATTCTCTCTATCTCTCTCTTTCCCTCGGAGGATAAATTGGCTTCCAAGATCTGCGCTTATTATGTATACCCAAATTATGCAGTTATCGTATACCTGTACATATTTATCAACAATAACTATATGATAATAGATGCAGAACTGGTACATAAATCAACTAACAAACGCTTCTTTTTTTGCCTCGTAAGTTGCGGAGTGAAATCGCACCTTTGCAAATCATTGCGGAATTCATGCGATCCTCTACTTAATTAATCCTCCTTCCCCGAGTCGATATTTATTTTCAAGTGGATTTTCGTCACCTTCTCACCTGCTAGTCACTGTCAGAATGATTGTTCAGAGTGTCTGCGTTTACGATGTGACTCGATGAGCTAAGATGAAGCGGACTTTGAATCTTTTCATTATAATTAACCGGAAGATGCGTCACCTACAGCCCGTGCGGTTTTAGTTACGCATAATTTAAATACGATACACTAGATGTTCCTAGTAACAAGCCGCAGGTAATTACAAGTCATTACTGCAGACCAGAAAATCGAATTTGCAAGCTTTCCCCTCTGCCTCCCTTGCCTCCTCAGAATTCTTCTTTCTTTCTGCATTTTCCCAGTAATTCCAATAATCTCCGCTTGAGGATGCGCATCGCGTTATCAATGACGTAAATAGGAAACACTGTAGGAGAAAAATACATATAATTGAGGTGCCGCAACATATGTGTGAAATGAGAGAAAGATGTGATAAAAATGGCAAATGTACGATGTTATAGCGATACAAACAAAACTGTTACCTAGAGATGCCTGATTAGCCTGATCGCAATGACATCGTAATTATAAATTGTCTATAGATCTGTCGGTTGATAATTATTATTGTCATCCAAATGAACTATTGTGCAATCTACGACATGTAAACGCAACGTCGTACAAGCTGAATTTGGAAAACGTGTGATGTTGACTACATCTTATCATTACGTCACGCATTCTGTGAAAAAACTTGGAAACTCGTTTTGATGTCCCCCCTCCCGCTTCCCCTTTTCGAGCAAAATAATACTTTAGTGATCGATGATAGGAAGCGCGAAAATTTTTACGCTGAAGCAATACCGGCACGCAATAACAGGATCGGCGAATGCAACGCACGCTTATAATTGCGGCGCGCAGTGAAGCAAACAAGAAATATTAACTAAATCTGCCTTCTGCCTGTGTGATTCGATCGTAATTCCTAAGCGCGGCGTTAACTACCACAGGAAAATTAGCAGTCTCTGAAGTGCGTGTAATTAAAATATACGTCGAATTAAAATAGAACACATGGAATATCGGAAATGCGAGGGTCACACAATGCAAGTCACGAAGTTCCGCTGCTGATTTTCGGAGTAAAAAGTTACGACCTTGAAAATCTTCCAGAGTCACTTTCGGAGCTAAATGACTCGGAAAATAATCGGAAAATGGCGGCCATGTTTTACGTTTCAACGGGCACAGGGAGCTCCCTGAACCGCGTTGAGGGTGACTACAAAAAAAGACATTTGCATGCGCCCGAGTTGGGAAATCCTGGCGGAGCATTATCCCGTGTGTTAACGCATCGAAACTGTTTAATCGCGGTAATAACTCTTTCTCGGGGAATCATTCCCTAATTAAAGCGTATGACGCGGCGCTGTTACGATTACCACCGGCGATTCGGCGCCCACCGGACGTGTTCGTCGCACTTGTCGCCGTCCTCATCTAGCGTGAAAATAACGCGACACCCCCGACAAAAAGGTCGGCGCACCGTGAAAAATTATCGCACTAATTAACGACAACGAGCGCGTCTGCGCACCATGCGTTTATTACGCGTGGATAACGCCATTCGGAGGATGCGCACGACCGGTTGCGAGGCGATTTCTCGGTAGCGGTTTATTAACAGATTTTAATAGCCCCTTAATAGAGAGACCGGATCGCCGTTACCGCCGTCGTTTTCTCCTACTCCAAAGCGCCATGAGCGCAATAAATGAAAAAAAACAAAGAAAAAATGGTTAATTAACGGTGCTATCAATTCCCGGGTCGACTTTCGTGGCGCCATGCGTGCCGTTAGTATCAGCTGTTTCGTTGCGATTAACATGCTTGTATTACTCGCGATATGATGGATCTCTATAAAGATGCTTTCTCTCCTTTTTTCTTTCTTCCTTTACGCGCGCGCGCACACGAACGTGCACTCTGGAAATTATGTACGAAGAAATTATTCATCACGTCGAATACTTGTTTCCTGTGTGTGCGCACGGTATTCCCCTTTTCAAATAGTCGCGTCTCCGGTTTAAAGACGGACTCAGCCGGTCACATTTTTCACGTTTGCTCAAAAGCCCGCCGTTCGATGAGTTTTTAATGAGACCGCAGTGAGGAACGTGCTAAAAATAAAATTGCGACGATGTTATGAAGTGTTCGAGCAACTTTGCTGCTCACATCTTCACGAGAGAAGACACTGCGTTTAAGAAATTTTGCGAGATCATCGCGGTGTCAACTTGTTCATATTTTACATCTTGATGAATATCTTCGATATCATTTATGCGCATGAGCATGATTAACGCTGGTAAACCATAAGATATTCACGCATGAAGATTTCGCGCCGCGCTTCTTCTCTCTCTCTTTTACTATCGAATCACGAAGTCCATCTCGTTCCCTTCCATGTAATTTTAATTCGCCTTTACTATGAATTTGTACTCATTATTCCAATTGCACATTTGTCTTTCGGCGAGATATCCCAAGGCGAGCGCACATGCTTACACCGAAGGGGATTTTCTCGGAAAACTCAAAAATCTGCGTCCGTTCCAGCGCGATGCGGCGTGCTGCGCGGAAAGCGGCATGGAGGTGGCTTCGTGGTGGGTTCGTGTTACATAATTACATCAGGATCACACGCGTGTCGAATCGATGACTATAAAAGCGGCGAGATAAGAGGATCTGCATGCAGTGTATCCTAGCAATACCGAACACCATGGCTGTTTGCGCTTTTAACCTAGTGTTTTTATTTTCACTCGTGACAGCCCTCTCAGGGTTGCCAACTGTCATTCCAGGTGAGTGATTAGACTGTTGAAACCAAGAAAATTCATCGGTTGGTTTAAGGAAAAAAAGTCCTTTAGCATTTCCTAAATAATTATGGAAAATTTTAAGTGATTAGAAAAAGAAGATTGGTAAATCGTCATAATCATTCAAAATTCTACGTGTTTCAAAAATGGTAGAGGACTTTTCTACTTAACTTAATCCATTCTATCCGCGCACGTGCGATTTCTTCAAACAGCTTGCACGTATGTTACACTTCAGTAAATTAAACTGTCGCACTGAATATATTGCGACAATTCTTATCGCTCTAACAGTTCAACGCGGCTTAGTACTAAAGACAACTAGCATTTATTTACATAATATTAACATTCAGATAACTCAGAGGTCACGCGAATTTACGGTATTACCACGTGTGCATTCCGTAATATTTTGTCGATAATAATTGTTCAGCGTGAATGATATATACTTGCATTTATATTTGCACGGAACTAGCATGTTATTTACATAATATTAACATTCAGATAACTCAGAGGTCACGCGAATTTACGGTATTACCACGTGTGCATTCCGTAATCTTTCGCCGATAATAATTGTTGAGCAGGAATGTTATATACTTGGAGCAGAAATTTTTAACGTTTCACAGAATTATCATTGCTCGACGGATCTCGATAGTAATAGCCTCGCAGTTTGCAATATTTTCATTATTTGAACAACTCCATTCGTTATAATTTTAAACGTCATGCAGAAAAATCTCGAGAAAAACCAAGCAGAGATTTCGTGATCGTTTCAACATGTAATAACGTGAGAAAGATTAAGATTTTTTTACGTGAGAAAAATAGATTTTTTTACTTTATTTACTATCAAGAAGTTTTTCTTTGAAAATAACAATGACGCGTGGATTCACGCGCCAGAATAAATTCAATCGCGATTAATTTCAGATTACTACTTCGCGTTAGTTGACATAACCTCTTTATATTTTTTCTCACATAATGATCGACTCATTTTTATCGCAGTAATAGACGAGAATGTCACATTGCCGACCGACTTACAACCGCCGCCAATAGACGAGAAGGAACATCATGCAATAGTGTTCGTCCTTAGTCTGTACGCCTTAAAAAACAGTAGTAGCAATGAGCCGGAGGAAATGATTCAGAACGAAATTATCGAGACTGTACCAGATATACTGGGTAAGTACAGACTGTGTGCACGACCGTGGATAGAAAGATCTTGTCCGTTATATTTTATATGAATTTCTGAACGAGACTCCATCTTGTTCACCGAGATATATCTATTGAAAATCAATTCTTCCTGAAAAACTTGAAATTGAAAATCTACGACGAACACAAAACCACGACATGAAGCGACACATAAAATATTATATCCATCCTTCACCGTATTTCTTCTTAATTAAAATTAAAAAGAAGAATATAATAAATGGTAAGCGTGAATAGAGTAAAAACAAATCAGTGACTGGAGAAAAATCATATCTTCGCAGAGCCATTAGCCACCGTTCTTGTAGTGGTGGAGGACGACGAGGAGGAAAAGGAACATCCACTGGTTGACCTCGACGATTTCGCTGAGCAGTTGCAGGACGACGGTTACAAGGTCGAAAAGATCATTCATAACGGCAAGACGAAAGTACTCAAGTTGAAATTGAATATAGAAGAGGCGCAGAGTATGGTGGAAGCGGCTTCAAAGCCGCACGATGACATGAAACCCCGTCAAAAGAGGACCACTTGTTTAAGATGTGGTGGTGGCGGCGGAGGACGTAGACACAGGGGTGGGTATAGAGGTTACTGTTCCGCCTGTGGCAATTATCCTTCTGGCGGTGGTGGCGGACTTAGTAGGTATACGTAGGTTGATACGTGCAGTATCGTGGTATACGTGACTTTTATCGAATAAACAATGATCAACGATGAAGTTTCTGGTTCTGGTTCGCATTAAACTATGCGAGGCGAAATGGATGACAAAATTATACAGTGACGTGATTCGTCATCGGTGTGTTCACTGAAAAAACAAAAAGAAACAGACAGTTTTCAGAGTTGCCGAGAGATTTACGATCGAGAAAATAACCCGATAGTTTCGGAACATGTCTTCAATTTTCAGGTGCAGGTTCTCGAGCATGTTTGCATATAACTGTAACGTCATGTTAGCAATCGCCTAATAATTGCGTCAGAATATCGCGTGAATTGGTTGGCGAGAGTAAGTTGTTTACTATGTACATTTCTAAGAATCGAGATACACATCGATGACCGCGCTAATGTTTTCTCAAGACTTTCCTACTTTCAGTAAAACGAATCACGGATGCTTCTTGATTTTCGCATAATCTCGTATGTAGAAATGACTTACACGAAAAGAATTTTTCTGGAAACTGTTGACATTCGTATGCTAAGAAAGTGCCGCGCTAGTTTAACTGGATATATTCATGCTGAAAAGCTGGGAAAATATCCGAACAAATAATTATTTGATTGTTATAATATATCAATTTGGTCTTCGATATGAATATGTCGCGACTACGCGACAATATGATATATTATGTGATAAGTGATATATTATGTGATTATGTGAAAGTTTTCTTCGCTCAGTCTTGCACAATCATGCATATATCATTTTATAGAGAAAAAGAGAAGAAAAAAGAAAAATAAATACAATGACAGTTAATAACAATTGAGTACTAAGGAAACGATTTCAGGGATGATCTCATTCGATCGAGTCGCCGAATGATTTTTCGATACAAAAGGATGTATAGAAACCACGACAATTGCATGTAAAGTACCTTACTTGCTAATTACAGGAATCTAACATTAGTGAAACTTTACACGTAAGAGAGATACTAACAGCACTGGTAAAGTACTGGACAATTTTAATCGGCTAATTTTAACCGAATCAATTTAATTTTGATTGAAACAATAACACACATTTTTTTTACTCGCTTGGCTCTCCTCGGTAACTAATGTCGGAGCGTTTTGTCAAAACTTGCGGGTCATAACACCACACTTAACGTCACAACTTAACAGGACATTAACACTACATATGCCATTTTTTGCTGGGGCCGATCGTAACTGCGTTCTAACAGGGGCACGCTTTGTTCAGAACAACAAATAGCTGTTATGCCAATTGCAGTATCTGTTAGAATTGTACTTGTTGGAATTCCAGGAGGCGGTGGCGGCTGCAACACTTGCGGGTATGTACCTTTCAACACGATACTACTCACAGAACGTGACGATGGATCGCATACGTGAACTCATGCAATCGTCTGCCAAATATCGCCAAACACAATCGTTTCCATCCATGAAACTGTAACGAAACATGAAGAGAGAGAGAGAGAGAGAGAGAGAGAGAGAGAGAGAGAGAGAGAGAGAGAGAGAGAGAGAGAGAGAGAGAGAGAGAGAGAGAGAGAGAGAGAGAGAGAGAACGAAAGAGGTTTTTAACGGTCGCGATATTTTCGTTTGCTTTAACCGTCTGGAACCAGAGATTTGCCTGCTGGTTTGTTCGCGCATGAAAATTGCGTTCTATCCGGAATCTTAGCGTTCAATTTAGAGTTCTTAGAGTCCAATTTAGTTCAATTTTCATTCTTATTTGAACAACCTTTAAAATATCCGCCAATATATGCACGGTTGAGCCATCGTCGACGTACTTTATATTACTGTTACGTTCGAATTCTCATTAACCATGACTTTGTTGCTTTCTCAATGAACCAGCGGCCGCGGCGGCGGCGGCAGCGGCAGCTTTTCCCAGTCCTCTGCTTCGGCGCAATCTTCCTCCGGCAGTTGGTGAGTACCGAAACTGCATTACCAAAACTGCAGAACTATTAATTTCGGAAGCTATCGAACGCTCGCAACAGATTAATACGTCATTTTCTTTTCCAGGGGAAGGGGAAGGAAATGAGCGGGAACAGTACGCGTAACCACGTGAACATGTTGCCATCATATATGATTATTACTCGCGACTTTTTTATCGCGGGTATTTAGGTGTCATTTTGAATAATACCCCACTAGTGTCTACAATTTTGAGTATGAATAATCATGAACAATCGTTTCATGCATTAACTGTTTTAATGATGAAAAAATATGTTATGTAACTGTTTGTTTTCCAACTAATTACAATAATACTGGGATTAAGCAGCAATTTATTATAGTAAAGGATTATAGTAAAGCTAATCGTCTATTTGCTTCATTCGCATATCATCAAGATAGTAGTGACGACAGTAATTAATCATCGATAGACTCGGAAGAGTAATACATACCTTTTCATAAATTTAATTTTCCAGAACAATGTTGCGCTTACAAACATCTTTACGATCGCAGAGCGTGCAATAAATAATGATTTGAAATGTTTGTTTCAACAAATAAAAATATACGATAAAGCTTCTCAATAAATCAATAATGCATAAAATTTTCTCTGTGTAGCCGTTTATTACTAGATTTCAGTACTTCCTTAAAAAACAGAAAGACGTTATCATCACTATAATTATATATTCCCGACGTTTTCATATTCTCCAAGAAAAGCACCGAGAAGATAACGTGCAACGTGAAAAACCGTGTGGAGGTGGCTTCGCATTATATAATTACGTTAGTAAGACACATGCATCGAGTCGCTGACTATTTAAAGCGTGAGGTAAAAGAATCGATATCCAGTGCATCCTGACAACACTGAACAGCTTCAAAATGGCCGTTTATGCTGTTACCGTAGTACTCCTATTTTCATTCGTAACAGTCCTCTCAGGGCTGCCACATATTATTTCAGGTAAGTGGTTATTCTGTTCGTAATACAAAACCAGAAAGACACCGTGAAGAAGATATAGTGGAAAGTTTTTGCAATCGTATTTCATAAAATTCTCTCTGTACGTGTTACACCTTGTTTTCATGGTAAAAGATATTGCTTTTTTCACCGACTGGTTTAAGAAAAAACAACTTTAGTTCATTGATTCTATTTTGATCTCTTCACCTTAATTATAGAGCTAATAATTTAATCATTATTAAAAATGCGACATATATGCGTCGATAAAATAAATTTAAATTCCCCAGACAGAAACTATTCAATTATATGGATAAAGCTTTTACATTGAATTTATACCGCGAACAATTTGTAATTTGCAAAAAGAACTGTAATGGAAATATATTATAACGTCTAGTAGTTGATTTTTTCCGATTTTCGACAATTTATAATCTTTATTTAAAAGTCAAGTACAAAATTAATGAATGAAATATTCTCCGTTGTTATCGATGTCCTTATGCCATTCATCAGGCAGTTGCCGAAACCCATCATGATAGAAGCTTGGTAGCTTTGAGGTTATAATGTCAAATGAAATCGAAGTCATAATGAAATTTCGTATATCGCCAACTGACAAAAAATGTGTATCAGGGTATGCGTGTTGCATCGACCGAAATAAGTCTGACGAAAATAAAAATCTGATGGAGCCAGTGTGAAAAATACGCCGCGTGTGGGAGACATTCTAGCCCAAGTGTAGTGGTTTTCTTTGCTTCTGGTGGCTTCTGCTGTATGCGATTTAGCATTGTCGTGCAGCAGGATAACTTTACGGCTGCCTTGTCCAATAAATGGCCTTTTTCTCTCAATTGCATCGCTCAAACGTATTGACTGCTCTTGGCAGATCTCTGCTCTAATAAAACTATTAAGATCTCATAGTACAGCACATTCTTCTGGTCTCACCATGTACAGAGAAGAACTTTCCTTCTGAAACGTTTAGATTTTGCTGTCGATGTTGTCGGCAAACCAGGATCTACTCATGATTTTTTGAGCTTAGGATTTTCATACATAAACTATTTTGCCTCACTAATTATGATTTTGAAAAAAATCTTTTTTTTTGTTGCCTGGCGTGCAAGGTAACTCATGTGGTCAATCGGCGATTTTTGCTGTTAATAGTTAGCTCGTATGACACCCACTTTCCTTCTTTTTGTATCTTTCTCATACGGTGTAATCAATCACAAATAGCTTTCTGGCTTACTCACAGATTTTCCGCAAGTTCTTGTGTATGTGTCGTATTTTTATTCAGTAAATTTTGCAATTTCTCGCCTTCAAATTTTTGGACTGACCGGTGCATGGTTGGTCGTGAAGATCAAAATCACCATTTCGAAAACGTTCAAGTCAGTTTCGGCACGTGCGATCGGTCGCAGCAGTTTCACCATAAGCAGCAGAAATCATTTTGGCTTCAGAAACGTTTTCGTTTAAATAAAATGCGAAGCGTATCGCGTATCGAATATGCTTTATCCTCTAATTCATAGTCATCATGAACATACTGATTATTTGATATGCGTCAAACACCAAATCATACGTCATTTCGAAAAATTAACTGTCAACAACTTAAAACCGCAAAAGAACGGGAGAATATTTCAATTTTAAATTTTATTCTGAACTATGTTCATAACTTCATCGGAAAGAATTAACTACTGGGGTTAATAATAATAATAGAATGTGACATTGCAAAATAAACAAAGTAGTTAATACAAATTATCTGAAAAAATGCGGCCGGCCGCTCGTGTGTAAGTAGGACTAATTAAATTAAATAAAAAGGTCCTTTAGCATTGTTTAAAGAATTATGTAAAATTTTAAATCATTAGCAAAAAGATATTTGTGAATCATGATAATAATTCGAAATTCTACGTGATTATTTAAAAAATGGTAAAAAATTTTTTTTACTTAATTTAACTTACACAAGCGATTTCATTAGACACCTTGTATATAATATCTTTCAGTAAATTAACTATCGCACTGAATATTTTACGACATCTCATCGCTTTAATATTTTTATGCGGTTGAATACTACAAACAACGTGCATTTATTTACATAACATTAACATTCTCAGAGGGATAACTCAGAGGACACGCAAATTTTTTTTTATTTTTATTTATATTTTCATTATTTGAACAACTCCATCCGTCATAATTTTAAACATCATGCAGAAAAATCTGAGGTAAAACCAAGCAGAAATTTTGAGATCGTTTCACCATGCAATAACGTAAAAGAGATCAAATCTTTCATTGAAAATAACAATGACGTGTCAATTCATGCGTCGAGATAAACTCAACATCGATTAATTTAGAATTGCTACATCGCGTTAGTCGACGTATCTTCTTCATATTTTTTCTCACATAGTAATCGGTTCATTTTTATGGCAATGATAGACAAGAATCACACATTGCCGATCGACTTGCAACCGCAGTCGATAGACGATAAAGAACATCATGCATCAGTGTTCATCCTTAATTTATATACTATAGAAAACAATAATGGCAATGAGTCGGAGGAAATGTTTCAGAACGAAAATATCGAGACCGGACATACTGGTGCAGACTGTATGCACGACCGTAGATAGAAAGATCTTGTCTGTTATATTTTATATAAATTTCTGCACGGCTCTATCTTGTTCAGCGTGAAAATTCTATTGAAAATCATTTCTTCTACTGAAAAGACTTGAAATTGCAAATCTACGACGAACTGAAAGTCACGACATGAAACGATATACGAAATATCATATTCTTTATTCATCATATTCCTTCTTAATTCATCTAATTAAAAATATTTAAATAAAAATAAAAATAAAATGAAAATAAAATATTAATAAAAGTAAATATTAATCTAATTAAAAATAAAAAATAGGAATATAATAAGTGGCAAGCGTGAGTGGGATAAGGACGAAGGTGATCAAAGAAAAATCATATCTTCGCAGAGCCATTAACCACCACTGAACACCACCTAGCGGTGGAGAACGACAAGAAGGAAAAAGAATACCTACTCATCGGGAAGTTGAAGGACGAAGATTACGAGGTCGACGAGATCAATCATAACGACAAGACGAAAATGCGCAAGTTGAAATCGAATAAAAAAGAGGCGCAGAATATGATGAAAGCGTCTCTGAATACGGTGGGTATTCAAGTGATGGATGTCCTAGTGGCGGAGGTGATCAATGTCCCATTTTTGGTGGCGGTTATTATTTTCTTAGTGGTGGCAAATATAGTAGGTATACGTAGGGTGTGTTTCATTACAGTTTGCATCATGAGGACTAGAAACTCCGATACAGTATCGGAGCTCCTACCTCTGATGATGCAAACTGCAATGTTTGCGAAACATCAGCACAAAGCTGAATTACAACGCGGTATTCATCCGGAAGAAACACACCCTGATTGTATCAATGGCCGCGAAAGTCTAAAAACTGGTACACATAGGTTGATACGTGCAGTATTGTGGTATATATGACTTTTACCGAATAAACAATGATCAACGATCAACTTTCTGATCCTTGGTACATTAAACTATGCGAGGCAAAATAGGTGACAAAATTATATAGTGACGTGATTCGTCATCGGTGTGTTCACTGAGAAAAGAAAAAGAAAAAGATAGTCTTCAGGGTTGCCGAGAGATTTTCGATCGAGAGGATAACCCGCTAGCTTCGAGGCATGTCTTCAATTTTCGTGCAGGTTCTTGAGCACGTTTGCGTGTAACTGTAACGTCATGTTAGCAATCGCCTAATAATTGCGTCAGAATATCGCGTGAATTGGTTGGCGAGAGTGAGTTGTTTACTATGTACATTTCTAAGGATAGAGATGCACACCGCGAGATGACCGCGCTAATGTTTTCTCAAGATTTTCCTAATTTCCGTAAAGTGAATCGCGGATGCTTCTTGTGTTTCGAGTAATCTTATATGCAGACATGAATTGCTCGAGAGAGAAGAGAATTTTTCTGAGAAATATTAATATTCGTACGCTGAGAAAGTATCGCGCTGATTTAACCGGATATATTGATGCTATAAAGCTAGGAAGACATCCGAACAAACAATTATTTGACAACAATTGTTGTAATATATAAATAGATAAGATTTCGATATGAATATGTCGCGGTTACGCAACAATATGATATTATATTTAATTCGATAGAAAAAGATATGTAGAAACTACGATAATTGCATGTGCAACCTTACTTGATACTTACAGGAATATAATATGAGTAAAACTTTACACGTAAGAGAGACACTAACAACACGGTTAAAGTATCGGACACTTTTAATCGGCTAATTTTAACCGAATAGTTATGACTTTGCAGAATAACAACTTTTTTTACTCATTTGGCTCTACTCGACAACTAATATGAGAGCGTTGTGCCTAGGGTTTCTGATTTCTCGACCTTTTTAATTTCTCGGGACACGAGAATTCTCGTGTATCCGTTCCCGGGAATTCCCGGGAAATCGAGAATATAAAAAATCTGTCAAGAAACGATAAATTCAAAGAAAATGATAAATTAAGATACATATTAATTGTTTAAATCAGTTTTATTGTCGATAATTTGACATTATGCAATTATTTTGCCTACATCTTCACATAAATATAATATATATCAGTTTCCTGTTGCATCAGTCAGTCGATATTTTATTGTCACATTA